GACGCACCCTCGTGACGCATGGGGAAATACGCCTCCCGCACCCCAAACCGAGCAACGGAATTACCAGCGCCCAGTTCTTGAAATTTACGTGACGGAGGTTACTTCGAAGAAATTTGCCCGGACGCAGCTATGCCACTGGCGCCATGATAGGACAGAGGAACCACGGATGACGCGACCACCAATCGCGATGTGAGACGCGGGGGAGGAATCATGTGACACGCGAGCTTTTCCTGAGGGACCACCGAAGGAAGCTCGGCCACTTGTTTCGGAGGCAGCGGGGAGATCACTTATTTTTGAAGCGAGCTGACTTGTTTCGGATGCGCGGATAGGCTTGTTACTTTGATTCGGAGCCGGGGCTATCTGTGCCTGGTCTCCCCGAATGCCGCGCCGTCTCGCCACTATCGCAGCCCGACTCGCGTGACGGAAGCCGAACTATGGGACGGGACACCACATGTAAGTGCCGGACCGCAGGAGCAAATTGAGTACGAGCCGGAGCGTGAAAGACAATATCACGAAGCGACCCGCCATCGCCCGGGCGCGGCCCTGCCGCCTGTCCGCGCTGAGCGACGCCGAGGCGCCGTCCGGTCGACGCACGCCGCTGGCTTATTCGGTGACTGTGGGCCGCCACCGCGGCCGCCGAGTGGTCGCTACAAAGGATCCTGGGGCAAGCACCGACCGTGGCTGCCCGCCGCCAGACCTGTGGGGCGCTGGGAAGGCCGAATGCCGCCTCTGTAAGCTGGGTCACGACCGCCAGGGAGGGCGAAAACCACAGAGCTAATATGAACTCTGGCCATGCCGGCCTTTTTTAAGTTAAGATTAGTTGTAAGTTAATTGTAAGTTGTTTGCAGCATTGGCTTCACCCTCGTGAACACTCCTGACATCACACTCCCCACACCATCCCCCTACCTGCGTACGAACGAGAGAACACCCGCTGGCGCCGACTGGGCACAGCTAGCGACGAGCGCGAGGAGCGACCCCTAGCACTCCCTCCCTGTCGGGGCATATATGCAGCGCTTCAAAAGCGTTGGGAAGGAATCTACTTATCCTACTGTCTGCGAACATCGAAAATTCCCACCTATAAGTTTCTTTTTCCGCAGGATTCAACTCCTCTCCAGCTCTCAACTTGCTGCCAGTAATGACCAAAAAGTTGTAAATGAAATGTACGTGGAACAACGGGCAACCAGCAACCGAGAACATTGGTCAGTTACACGGGGTGCCGGACCTTTTTTTTGTCCCAACCTTTTATGGAACGCCGACACAACAACATGGTGCCCATTTATAAAAAAGCAGCTATTGCCAGCGGCAGGTCATGCTCGGGAGAACAGGCAGTGGTGGCAGCAGTCGCCTGATTCGTACGTCGCGCGGGGCAGAATGGCATCGTTGTAGCTTCGCGGTGGCTGACCGAGAAGGCAAAAACTTGAGAAGAATTAGAAGAGAAGCCCGCGAAAATAGAACCAAGCGCATCATTACCGTCGGTTACACAGCGCGGGAGGTACTCCCGTTGTGATAGGGCACTGGGAGAATGTGTGGCGGGTAGTGACCCGCACTTAAAGAAAGTTGCGGATGCGCTCAAACTAAAGCTTTTAAGGAAAAATAGTCACTGAGGCATTATGGCAGTGCGCATGCTACTAACACGCACAACGACAATATACACCTGGCCCCGTGAGTACAAAACAGAGCGCGGGACAGATCCGCAGAGTGCCCCCTCCCCACCCATGCACAGGAAGCTAGTGCGGAACAACAGAAATGATCTGCAACCACCAGACGACAAGTGGAGTCCTGCGTAGATCTCGAGCAGATTGCAGATGAATAGATTTATGTATTATAAATAAATTATATGTATATATGTTAATATCCATAGAAGTAAAATTTTTCACTAAGCCAGATGCAACAGATATGTATAAATGTATATATGTATTATAAATGTATATATTAGATTAAGAAATAAATTAATTTGTACCTAAATATAAGAAAATGCCTCAGTATTTTCTATCAGTTAGTTTAGGCAATCACGCATGCCTCCCTCTAGGGAGTCTGCCGACGAAGCAGCCGGGCGAAGCTGAATCGCCGAAGGAAATCAGGTAATCGGGTGAGTCGGTGGTTACAATATGTTTCTCGCATTCAGGAAGTCACACTAACTATGGGCCACCCTCATAACCTCTAAACGGTTCCGGATATCGACATACAGTTTTCGCTCAACAATGCGGAGTCATGAGGCCAGAGATATGGAGTTTCAAATATTGTCAGTTTTCGACAAATTTAATTATCTTTTGATTTTTAAAATGGAACCATACATTTTTCTCATTAACAATAAATAATCATAAAAGGAAGGATGCAATTATGTAACATATGTTAATATTTTGATAGTATAAAAAATGTGCATAAAATCATACTTTCTGACCTAAAATTTTTAATTAACGTGCAATTTTTCCTGTAGCTGCCGACGCAACTGTCGCCCCGTAAAACCCGCGAAGGCAACCTCCTTCAAAGGAGACAGTTGATAGGGTTGATACAGGAAATCTTGTTTATTTAATTTAAAATCATGTGACGGAAAATTTTATACTACAAATTATCAAAACATTAACATATGTTACAACATTGCATTTGTCTATTTATGATATATCTATTGCTAAAGAGATAAAAATGGTTCCATTTAAAAAATTAAAAATGATTAAATTCCTCTGAAACAAAATATTTCGAACAATATCTCTACGGCACATTAATATCCATATGATGCTCCTTTGTTGGGAGAAAACTACATTTCGATATCGGGAACCGTTTAGAAGTTATGGGGGATGGACCGTAGTTGGTGGGACTTCCTATTTACCAAAACAAAACTGTTGAACAGATAACAAATAAAAATATTACTGAAGTGTTGTGCATCCCGACAAAAATAGAGGTTTCTTTTAGTTTATATTCTGATACGTTACCCCACGATTGAACTTATCCTGATGAACGGGTAACTGAACAATTTGGAAATGAATTCGAGTTGCTAGAATACTATCTGGATGCGTGATTCCCTTCCCGAGGAGTCAACAAATAGCAATGTTTTTGCAGATTGGTAATTTTCACTGTGTCAATAAATTCGAAAAGGTCCATATCCACAGTGCAAATCGTCAAAGGTGGTCAATATTCTGAAACAGTTGCGGCGTTTGTAACCGGTTCGGGGCCAAATGTAGTCGCCGACTCTCATCAGATCGCGGGAACCGTTGGCCTGGTGACGGCAACTTTCGACGACCTACCTGTGGCGGCTCCCTTGGAGGGAGACAAAGAACGCAAGTTGCCCAAAGCTCCGCGGACCCATCCCACAGATTTGAGGTGAGCACGAATCAGGGAGGGTTTATTTATTAGGGTTGCTTGGCTAGGAAAATGCGGAAGGGCTTACATGGTTTTGAAACATCATCCAAGCACATTTATTAGCATTTATAATATTTTAATCGGCGGGGAACCCATAAGACAACATCAAAATTTTCAAAAAATGACCCCGTTTTTTATTAAACAAATTCCTCAAACTCCCTCTCACCGCTCTTGAAGCGGCAGATTACCATTCCGCCCGCCTGCTTTACGCCACCCGGCCGGGACCTTCCCATAATGCCGTTTCTTAGAAAAAAAATCGCGTTCTACGCACCCCAATGAGAGTTTTTTTTAAGGCTAAATGCTATACTGAAAAATACTTGTAGAAAAATTCAAAAGATTGTAGCACTCACAGGAGAATTTGCTTTACCGATAACGTCTGAACCAATAGACCTGGTAACAAAAAAGTGGATAAATCCACTCGCTAAAATTAGAAGAAAAAATCCTGTACTACGTGGTGTCCCCAGAATCCATGTTTTGAGGGTCCTTATACCGAAAAGTCGACTGGCAGCAAAACGTGTCTGTCCGTTCGTCTGTCAGTGCACAACGCTAGGGGCGAAACTATTCACCCAATTTTCTGCAAAATTGATATTCCTCGAACGATCTGGCTGACATAGACCCTTGAATTTGAAACTGAATTTAAATTTTGGGGGTACTTAATACGAAGACCTTGGGATATTTTCAAAATTTTAAAAACATTTTACGCCCTAGATTTTGATTGAATTTTGTTGGTGAATAGTGTGAAAGATGTTCAAGAGAATGTCGCAGGTCAAATGTTCTTTAAAAAACCCAAGTCTTCGAAATTTTAAAAAATTCAATTTTTTTTTCGGCGTCTTCTTTCTACTACACTTATGAAGATATTTTTTCTTAATAAAATGTGTTCATCAAATACAGATCTTTAAATAAGGTCATGTTGAATTTCTTTGAAAATAAAGAGTTGTTTATAATTTGACGACAAAGATAGTCGCCTTCTCCGAATTTACCACGCATTTGGATGCTACTTAAGTTGGTGATTGTATATTATTTCAATGTTCGTTTCTTACATTGGTGCTTTTGTTATGTTTTATAATTTATCTTTTAAAAATTATTTAAAACATTTTAAATTGCTTCCTTTAATTAAGTTAAATGTAAAAACGAATAGATGATTACGCTTTGCTTAATAAGATGTGGGAATGAGTAATGCATGTGAAAACTAATTTTGTTGTATATAAAAATATATTTAATTATTATGTTTTTCAATCCATTTTTATTTTTTTGCTAGCGGTATCAACAATGCTAATAGGCAAAATGTGTATCCAAAAGGAAATAGCGATCATTATTGCTTGTTGAAACCTATAGTTGTACCGCCGCGCTGATAGCAGAAGGCGATGATGACGCCTGTCTTTCGTTCGCGTTGATATAATAATTTTATTTACGGCTAAAATACGCAACGTACATAGTTGGTTCGTTTATGTAGAACGTGTAGATAACTGACGCGCCATGTTGTGGAGTTAAAATAATTATACTATGCCTTATTCATCCCGGAAATGCAAGTAATAAATGGACAAAATTTTATCGCAATCGGAAGAATGGTATGAGAGTGTAATAAACACGAACCAATAACATTGATATATATAAAGATTAAAATATTGCAACAGAATACTTACCTTATGTAGGAATCCAAATATTTTTGAAATATATTTCTTGTAAGTTTGTTCAGATACGTGTGGTCATTTCCCATTTTAAACCGAGACAGGTCTTTTGAAAGCATTACAGTCCTATCCAAAAGAAAATAGCAATTTTGGTTAAATACATAATATTATTTCACATTGATTTACACAGATTTAATAAACATTTCGCTTACTAATCAAGCCCTTATTTCCTAAACTAAACATGGTGATGGTTAAGGTTTAAGTGCACTTCAACAGCCAAAGACATTGGCGCCCGAGTCAATTCTTTTATTTTATTTTTTAAGAGCAATACGCACTGCAGCCGTGCCAGACTAGAACATCACATTTGCAAGGTAAAATGAAAGTAAAACTGAATAAAAGCATGTTCAATTATTTAAAAGGGTTGGCGGAAAAGAGCCAAATAAACACTTTAAAATCTCAAATTATAAGCCAAATGATTGGTATAATCCTCTCAGATAATGCTGTAAATGTCAGACTAGTAAGAAGCTAAAAAGCTTGCATAGAGAAGATTCGTCATTTCCAAGTACCTGTGCTAGAGAGATAGCACGGTGAAGCTTTCGCCGGCTATCTCTTACCTTAGAACAGTGCAGGAGATCATGCTCCACAGGTAAGATCCGTATCGCAACTATCGCAAGTATGGGTGGGTCACCGCGGAATGTCCGTGGGAGAAATGACAACTACCAATTCGAAGGCATGTCAGAATTATTTGGAAGGCATGTCTTTATCCACGAGATCAAGAGGCTTTACGATATCCTTGATTCTCGTGAGCTTAAAGTCTGAGTTCTGCCACTCTGTTTGCCATGCGCACGACAATGCAACGTTTGATAAACAGCTTGGTACCGTTTGTTGGGACTGTGAGAATGTCTATCTCAGTTTTCTCTGTGGCGAGCTTTCCTGCCTCGTCAGCAATTTCTTCTCTATTATCCCAACGTGACCTGGGATCCAATAAAAAAACAAATTATAACGACGAACAGTAAATTATGGATTAGGTGTTGGGTGATTATTGTCACATGGTCACAAGGAGACAAGCAGGAGATAGATTCAAGCGAGCTTTTTGAATCTCTGCAGATCACAGCTTCTTTTAATGTCATCGATTCAACGAACCTAAGTGCCGCCACGAGTGCATATTTTTCTGCAGTATAAGCCTTGCACGAAAAGTCTAGTCAAAAAATTCCGCATGGCACAATGGTAGTAGAAGGCATACCATACATTCAATTCTGGGAGGAACCATCAGTGTATATGAAGTTAAAACTGCGATACATGGATTTCCTCTCCAGGAATTCCGCTAGAAATGTACTGGGGGGAGTTGAGGATTTGGGGAAGTGTGACAATCTCAGGTTATTTTAGGCCGGAGAAGCTTCCAAGGGGGAACAAGGGTTTTTTTGGGGGGGGGCACAGGAATGGGGAGTTTTATATCGAGTTTCTGCAAGAACATGTACAGACAGATACCTGGAGGGTGGGATAACGATTGTCTGAGTTCGTACGATGTCCTGGTACTTGGGTGAAGAACTGCTTGGCGCGAAGGCGTATTTATGGCTCATACTTTCGCACCGTAGGAGCCGATTACAATATCTCGACTTCGGCTCAGGGATGGGTCACCAGCCGCGGCCAAGAGTCATTCAATGCAACTCGTGCGATAGGCGCCTGTGCTGATCTGTATGCCGGCATTGTGTATGGTATTCAATGAACGGAGGATCGATGGAGACCCATACACAATACACCCATAATCCAAGATAGGACGGATGATAATTCCAATATATATCTAATTGGTGAGTTCAGGTTAACGTGTCACCAAGGCGAACGGGAAAAGATCTTGACGAAAGAAAATCTACTAGAAAAGAAAGGGAGCCAACCCCCTTACGGTTCCCAGAATGCAAGATGCGAAGAATGCTCTATTCCCAGGTGGTGTCATACGCTTTCTCTGTCGAAAAATAATTGCCACGTGTTGCCGTAGCACGAAAGTGGAGATCTGAGTGGCAAGGAAGACTAAGTGGTCCATGGTTGACCTATGCTTACTGAAACCATACTGAATATGTGTAAATAGATTCCTTTGCTCCAGGTGCCAGACCAGAGATTTATTTACTATTCGTTCTAAAAGCTTGCACGCACAGCTTGTGAGCGAGATTGGGCGGTAACTAAGAGATTGTTCTGTCCTTTCCTTCTTTAGGGATTGGAATAACAATGGCGTCACGACATGGTAACGAATGTTTATCCCATATCAAGTGAAAAATGCGAAGGAGAAAAGTACGAGCATTTTCCGGTAGGTGTTTAAGCATTTGATTTATATCTGGTGTAGTCCGGTCCTGGAGCAGTCTTGCACAAGCGAAGGCACAGGAAAATTCATCCATGAAGAAAGGCGCATTGTAATCTTGCATCACGCGACTCGAGAAATCTAGTCAGCAGTTCTCCATTCTTCTTTTGGTTTTCAGAAAGCTGGGAGTAGTGTACGGAGCTGGAGATATGCTCATAGTGAGAGGCCAATTCTTCAACTATATCTCCTGGTAAGGTGATAAGATATCCATTTACCAGACGCCCTGACACTGACCACCGATCTCTCTAACTTTTCGCCACACTACTTCAGGGGGCGTAAGGCATGAGAGTGATGAAATATACTCTCCAGGACGGGACCTTACAATCCTTTATGGTCAATCTAGCTCTGGCTCGTGATCTTTTATAATTGATCAGATTATCAATGGTCGGGGACCTACTAAGCTTTACCAAAGCCCGTTTCCGATCCCGCACCGCGGTGACACAGCCGGCACTCCACCATTGCAAGGGAGGATGTCGTTGGTGACCCGATATCTGCATTTACTATCGATGGCAATTGAGGCCGCGTGAAGAAAGGCATTAGTAATATGGGCAACCATAGCATCAATATCGTTTGGACAGGTTTCCGATATCCATATTTCTTTCTCGTAAGTTTCCCACTCAGCCCAGTGGGATAGCCATGGAGGGGGACGACCAACGTTTGGGTCGGGAATATCGAAAAGAATTGTCCACTCAATGATGGTAGAGAGGGATGGACTACAGAAAGATCGATGGACGAGAAACTGTTTGAAGCAACAGAGAAGTGTGTGATTTCACCAGTATTCAGAAGTTCTGGTGGCAATAATATTTTCAAGTATATTGCTTCCTAGCAGGTCCTAGTGTACCCCAGGCGGGATTATGAGCATTAAAGCCCCTCACAATAAGAAAAGGGGGCGAGCAATTGAGATAACATATCTTCAAGTTCCTCTTGCGACACATGGCCAGGCGGGATAAAGACGTTGCAAATAGTGATTGATATAGTGCGGAAGTTCATACGAATGCAAGATGTCTGAAGAGTCGTTCGTCCGTCTATTTCTTTGGACACTAGGGAGTCGGTGACTAATGTAACGACTCCGCCATGTGCCCGGAGGCCATCATCAATGCCTTGCTTATAACAGCAAGAGAAGCCGCGAAGAGAGAGGGAATGCTGAGGAAGATGTTTCCTGCAGGCAGACTACAACGGGTCTATGCAAAGACATTATCAGCTTTAATTCAGCTAAACGTGTGCGAAAGCAATTCGGGTTCCACGAGAGGAGTGATATAACTTTTAGACGTTACGTTTCTTACCTCTAAAGAGATTTTTTCTTCCCCCCTTTTCCGTTTTTGCCTCTGTTGCCCGAAGCGGCGACTGTCCACACCGGCTGAAGTTTTCTCTGAGGCCGATTCCTTCCGAGCACTGCTCGACGGGCTACGAGATCGCTCAGAGCGTATCTCAGGACTCGGGATAGGTGGTCGGAGTTTGAAAAAACGATCTTTTTTTAAGTTTGTCTGGGCCAGGAGGCCGTGTGACATCGGCCTTAATGCGGGTCTGAGAAGTGGATTTTAAGTTCGACTTCGCCTGGGCGGTTTTCTTCGACAATTTATAATTGGAATTATCTTCCCGCCCTGCATAGAAGCATAGAGATCCGTATCGTGGGTAGTTTTGCCGCACTCTGCGCAAACAGTACAGCCATGCACCACTCTTGGGTGTAGCCGAACCTGTGATACTTGAAGCAACGCAGGGAATTTGGCACATACTGCCCCACGTGGAGATTATAAAATCCATAACTAATCCTCTCTGGGAGGGGGAGACTAAACGTCAGGATCAGACTGGGGGTAGAGATATCTACCCCACTCTTCCTCTTCATCCTAAATACCTCCGTTACGCCCTGACTCTTGAAGACAGAAGTTCCTCCTCACTTTCGGACGCGAAGTCATCGTGATTCACCATTCCCTTAAGGGTAAGGTGAGTGGTCACTTCCACCTGGTGGCCGGCATACACTATCGATGACATTCGCCATTGATTGCTGATAGTAAATGCAGAAAAGGAACTTCTTGGTCCCGTGGGGAAGTCTAGGGTACACAGGGGATCCTCAAATGTCTAGGAATTTAGTAACCACGACTTTAATGTAGCATATAGAAAATTGTAGTCAGAATCCATGTCTTTGGATCCTTGATACCGAAACACCGATTGACAACAAAATGTGTCCACGCACATGCACGTGAACAACGCAAGCGGCTAAACAGTCATCGGGATTTTGACCAAATTTGTTATTCCCAACAGAGCTGTCTGATACCGTAGTCTCTTGAATTTTAAACCGATATTTTAATTTTGGGGGGTACTGAACAAGAGTGTGAAACGGATATTTTGATTTCAGAGAGTACACTACATGAAGCTTCAAGTTCATTTTCAAAATTTTCAATAAAATGTCACCAAATTTTTTAATTAAGTTTTGATCTCCAATAGCGTAAACGGCGCTTAAGAGAACGGTGCAAGTCTCACTTTCGTTAAAATCCCTAACATTGCGACAATTGCAAAAATTCAAAATTTTTCGGCATCTTATTACAACTACAATTTTGAAGACTCTTTTCTAAATGAAATATGTTCATCAAAACAATTTTTTAAATGAGGTCATGTTCGATTTTCAAAAATAAGTATTTTTGCGTAATTTTGCTTGTAACATAAGCGCGTTCAGAAACATTTTAAACAATTATTTTCTCAGAAACGACTCGAATTTTTTCTCGGGTGTAGCAAAGAACTATAAAGATAGTGGTGATGGTCAAAGTTTAGGCGCTCCCTGTATTTTCGAAAATTGCAACAACTTTTTTATTTAAAAAAAAACGAATTGTAAATTGGAATTTCGCCCGCTTTCAGGCGCTAGCAGCTCGCAAAATTGCAACACAGTGGTTTCAAAATTCTTCGAATTCATCTCATTGATCCCAATCATGATTGTATCAAGTAGAATAATATTGTTATGAAAGGAAATGGATTGAAAGTAATAAATTTAATTTAGAATACACTCTTTAATCAGGTATTAAAAATTGAAAGCTTACTTCAACCTAATCAAAATAGGTCGTGAAATATTCAGGTCACGAATGGTAGTAAACACTTAGAGGCTAGATTCAGTGTGGTAATGACAAGAGATGAAATTATGGAACAGTCACTGATTTCATTTACAACGCCAATATTGCAGGGAAAACCTTCAAAAGGGAAGTTTTGACAATAAGTGGCAGAAAGATCAACAAAAAAATTGTAGCAAGGCCAATTTATTTAGTTATAAAGTAATATTAAGATAGAAAAAGAATTGTTAAGTTTTTGTGTTTTTAGAGATTTGATGTCCATTAAATAGGTAATCATTAGAAAAATATAACAAAACATTGTTGACCTTTAAAACCAATAGAAATTTAAATAAATTAATTTTACCACCAACATTGTCACTGAACAGTCAGTCACATATTTACAAATTGTTAAATTCTTGAGTAAGAATAGTACAAAATATTTCCAGTAATACATTGTAAATTTTACAAAAGAGAAATTTTGAATTACCACAATAGCAGGCTCAACATGGGGCAGTAAAATATTGAAAATGTAATTATTATGAAGAGAAATTCTGAGTTACTATATAAAAATACATACATATATATTTTGCTGTTTGTTCCGTAATAACTTATGAACTCCTACAGCAAATTTTGCAAGAAATCTTCTACAAAGCCTGGTTAGTGACAGCTCAAATGTTTCCTGTAATTTGTCTACATCAAGAAATGTTCCTAGAAATAAGGCAATTCACAAAGCAGGGTGACACTGTTCATGAGTGTTGTGTGGTGGGGCATGATATAAGGAACATTCTGAATGGGTAGGGCAAGAGGTGAACAGTACAGGCTGAACCTACCTTAATAGATAATTAAGATAATTTGGTACCTGGGCAATACCAGGTAATCAGCTAGTTAATTCAAATAAACTTAAGTTAACTTTAAATCAGCTTCTAATAATTCTCAATTTTCTTGTAAGTAATCCTTTTGTACATTTCATATCCATCATCATTGCTATTATTTTGAGTATTTTTATTTTTAATACATTTTCATCGTCTTTATTACATTTAACAATCACATACCAAGGGAGGGGGAGGGGTCAATGATGTAACCCTAGCAATTTTTCCGCCTTCCCACTTGCTCGGTTAAAAAATTACTGTTTCACCCTTTAGGACATTTATAATCAGAACCTCTCTTCTCTTTAATCCTAAGAGATAGTGTCACCTTCCAACACTTATTGAATATTTACATAATAATTCACTCTAACTACTCTAGGTATAATCGCATGAAGGAGACTTTAACATTATCTTGCAGCCAGACCTGCCCATAAACATGATAAAATCTTATTTCAGTGTCTGTTGATGTAAATAACAATTGTGCATAAGAGCAACAGAGTGAAGGTTGAACTAGTTCTTCAAAAATTGGATGTGGCCATCTGTGCTGCCACTTAAATATCCACAAGATCAGAAATTGTTCATAACATATTTAAGCACTAGCCATTGCTCAAAAACTGTAAATATTCTAAAACAAACTTGCAGACAATGGTTGCTAAATACAGAACATTACATCTTAAGTACAAAAAAAATTCCTCTTATTTTGCCAATAGCAGGCTTTATTCTGGGATTCTCCACTGACACACCCTCCTAGTGATCACCAGGCAAAGAAATAGCATTGCTATAGTTAGTTAAATTTAAAATTTTAACAATAGTTAAATTAGTATGTCATCCTTACCTTGAATATAAATCATACAGATTCCTCAAGTATCTATCAGCATCACTTCTATCTGCTAAATGTTCACTGGCATACTTCTGTAAAATTAATAATGTAAAATTATAGTATTCCATGCAGGACAAATTATTAATAAAAAATAAAGTTCAAAAATACACTACCTGCAGTCTCAGGTGATAAATATTTAAAACATATTTTGCCATCACTTGATCTGGATTGCTGAATACTTCTGCCATTACCGAAAAATTCTTTTCACATAAAGGGATTACATCTCTAAAAATATCTTTACTAGTGAAGGCACCCTTAAAATAAAAACAAAAATTTCAATTTCATTATCTTTGAAGATGAAATAGTATATCAAAAGCATTCTTATAATCTCTTGAGAATCATTCAATTGCAAGCTGATGAAGGCAAAACAAAATATACTCACCATTTGGCTCTGTTCAATAAAAGCATCCACACATTGTGTGTAACCCTTAAAGTGGGAGAGTATGGAAGCAATTTCTTTCATCCGACCCTTGTCATCTGAGCGATGAGCTTTGACAAATTCTTCAATTAAAGATCTCTCAATCTCATCATATTTCAGAGCAATTTTCTTTTTTGCCTTCTCAAATCTGAAATAAAAATTAAAATTATCCATTGAGAACTCATCAGTTTGCAAAATGCACAAAAGAGAAAAACTTACTTTCCAGATGGTAGTTCTTGGGCAATAAGATGCAACTTTTGAATAATATCAGCAGCTTCATCAATCTATAACCAATGATTATACATTTTGGTAAATACACGCATTATTTTAAAAGTTTATTTATATTATATACGTTTTATTTATTTTATTTGTATTATTATAAAATAAATTTTCACAAATATACATATGTAGTAATACATCCAAAAACAATGAAACTATTATATACTTAAAATTGATGAATTATGGACCTTACATAACACATTCAAGAAACAATACTAGGAATTATATATTACATATTTCAGATGCTTACTTCCTACTAAGTTGGTATACTTGAAATTTTACCTCAGACTTCAGTCTGTATTAATATTATACTTGTACAACTTGTAAGTTTTCTTCTTCTAATTTTCAGATATCTTAAAAGCATAATTGACAACCACATTTTCCAAAATTTACCTTTACAAAATTTTCAAATCACTCAATTAACAAATTGAGTTAAGACAATGTATTGCTTGATGTAAGAGGAAGTGAATTGAGTGGTCAGAATTGAGCTATATGAAATATTTACCTCACTGCATTATATTAAAGGCATGAAGCAATACTGTCATTTTTTTATGTATTTCACTAATCTATGAAAAACAATTTCGCTAGCAATGAGAGAGGGGTGGAGGGAGAAAATGAACTTGCTTCTCCATTAGGTTTGTTGATGTTTTCCCTAACACAAAGGTACAGAAGAAATGTACTGGCAAAAATGCTAAAGATATAATTTTTCAGATTGTTTTCCAAATTTTCGTGTTTCATAACTAAAATATGTATACTATTTACGCCCAAACTAGATTAGTCTCTAACTTTAAAGAGGTCTTTAGAATATTTCTCATATTTAACTAACTTTTACCAGAGAGAAACAGAGAGAGAGAGAGAGAGACAGAGAGAGGGAGGGAGGGAGAGGGAGAGACAGAAAGAGAGGGAGAGAGACAGACAGAGAGAGAGCAAATTGTCAAACTTATTTATCTTTTTTGTCTGAATTATTTTATTTATTCATGGGATATTCCATTTGATACAACAATAAAGATCATTTGTAGTACACAAATCAGTTAAAGTGTGTATTGTAAAAATAAAAAAATAAAGAAGAGATAACAAAAATAAGAATAAGAAAATGAATAATAGTAATTAATTAATTGCAAAACTAGCATAGCCATCAACATTTAATGATTAAAAACAAGGTTGTTTACATGCTAACAAAAACGTGTTTAGGAGATGTTAAAATAAAAATATGTCTTTATAATATTTGTTTGCAGTAGAAGCTAATCTGTGAAAGGTATGATTCATCAAGAATTCAGTTTTATCACTTATTATGTTTGTGGGTTTCTAGAGACCTTTCTTGGAATCAAATGATTAAGATACTGTAGAAAGCCACAGTGAATATCACCTGATACAATACTATAATGTAAAAAGATAAGATTGCTTATAATTAATTCTTTTGTTGTTAAGATAAGGAATTTCAAACAGTTTGTAACAGAGTATTCCTAATAAAATCTTGATACATGCCTATAATTTAGATGGGCAAGATTATGCAACTTTATACAGGACAAAATAACAGTCTCTCAACTTTCAAAAATTTGGGAACTTCAAACAAACCAGTCAACGAAATGTTTTGTTACATCAACTACATTCTTTTGCAGACCAAATAATAACAGAAGTCTTTGGTAGATTTAAACACATATCGTGAGCAATGGAATTATTTTAAACATTAAATAAAATACTTATATAATCTAAATCATTTTTGAACCTAAGGCCATTCAAACCGCAAGATTATGCGTTGGAAATTTTCAAGATTATCTATTGATTTTTCTGTATAAGGGGATCAAACAACGGTTGCATTCTCTAAAATTGGTCTAACAAGTTAATTGAAAAGTAATTCGATAATGTTGACAGAGCAAAATTGAAATGTCAACATTTCAAGGTTCTCAGGGCATTTTTAACAATGAAATCAATGTACTCATTAAAGTTAAGCTTACAATCAACAACCACTCAAAGATTTTTGATGCTATTGACAAAATATAGATTTGACATATCCAAGGAATAGAAATAGTCAACACTACTTTTTTTCACCTTTTTTCACAAAAGTAATAGCAAGACACTTCTCAGGGTGTCTATCACCTCTTTTGGAATGCACCAGTAATTTATGGCGATCAAATCCTGCTGCAATTTAAAGGTTTCCTCTACACTCAAGGTCCTGTGGAAGATCTTGGCATTGTTAACAAATAGAAATAAGAGTATATTACTACTTTTAAGAAAAGTAGGAAGATCAATGTTAAATAGAATAAAGTATAGGGTCTAAGTGGGAACTTGTGGAACCCCAGAGGGAACAGAATATGAATCAGAACCAAGAGCATTTAAGGACACACTGTTTCCTGTTCGTCAAATATGACTGAGCCGGAAAGAAGTGGTTCACCATGTTCCTATTTTCCTCATACCCCCCCACACACACACACACACACCTATTTTCTTAATAAAATCAGCATTGTTTTTGTTACTATTATCTTTGCCTTCACATGTACCTTTGTCGTTGGTTGTTTTCTCCTTTTTCTTTTTGTTCCTACTCCCGTACTTAGATGCCCTTTTGAGTTTTCAAGCCCCCGAAAATGTTGTACCTTGAATTGGTGATTTTTAATCTTTCATCTGAAGCCAGCAACTTTCCAATTACATTTCCTGTCTCCAGAATTTGTTTTTCTTGTTGCGCACTGTTCATGGCCTCTGCTTCTTAACCACCATTAATTTTTAATTCCCATGATAGAGTTGTGATTTGTGCCGAAGGTAGAGCTGGAGAAGACCAATGTTCAGGAGTTTTTCCCCAGACATTGAGATGAAAGTATGTGCAGCATGGTAACAAAACTTCATCAATGAATTGTATTCATTTCGACGTTGCATTTCACTCACTGCAATGCAATTCATTTAAGACTTTCTTTACCAACCAATCCAAAAATATTGGTCTGAATTACTCGTCAAATCCATGGTAAATGCTAAGAGTATATCTTTGAATAATTAGGTACACACATGTTATTAAACAGCTTCTTAGCTTATTGTAACATCAGCATTATATCAAAAGGAATGGCAGTGGTAACATAAATCCCAACTGATGACACTTAATCTGCTACAAAAAGACGACTCCGCATTTTTCAATTGAGATATTTAGGAAAAAACCTTGTCTTAAAATCTGGTAAATAAGGGACTATCGTTGCTAACTTCATTATCATGTAAATCATTACATTTGTGTCAGTGCTTAGAAAAATCATTTTTTCTTCATTAAAGTTCATGGTTACATGCCTACCTATTCATCTATAAATTCACCAATGGCTGCCAGATTGCATGATTGAATGTTTGGGACACCTGCTTATAGAGACTGGGTGTAACAATTGGAACAACTTAGTAAACAATGCCTGTCTGCAGCCAAAGTAATGGAAAGGTTCCTAGAGCGGAAATATTTAACTACTGAGTCCATTACTTTAAACTATCCTGCTCTGGCCCTTCTTGAACACTTATGATTTAAACAACAGCTAGGAAATCATTGACTTTCTCCTCTTCTCTTTCCTTCTCCTTCTGTCGCTCTGTCTTTGACTTTGCTAAATTTCCTTTATTCTTTTTCTTGTTTTTCTCAAACTGTATACAAAGTTCTTAACCTTAAGAAACCTAGCAAGAAGACAGACCAACAAGCTTGTCAAGTGGCTGCTCCTACCATGAAGCTTGACCTGCAAAGCACCAGTAATGCAGCCTGGGAATGTAACATGCTAAATTTCTCCAAGAAATGCTGGACTACCATGTTAAGTGAACCAAAGTAATGAAAAACAAAAGTACAGGATTATTGGATTAATGAAAATAGCTGTATGGGAAGTGAGGAATAAAAGAAACTATTTCAAATAAAAGTATGTATAGCATGCACAACTAGACGTTGCAATCATACATGAAAGGAAAAAGTTAAACAAGGTGAAATATAATGTAAAGAATATATTTTAATTTTTTTGTGGTGAAGGGCACAAGAAGAGATAATCTCCTGGTATAGAGATAGTAATAAAAAAGAAACTGAAAAATAAGACTGACACAATTATAAATGAATAAATTATTCAACTGAGATATCAAACATAAAGAAGTCACTTTTCTATTATTGGTTGTGACTCATCTATCAGCATTGTTACGCAAATTGCTAAACTACACTCTGTGATGTCACTGATGTTAAGCAATTCAAGACACCATGAATTCCTAGACGGGTGACTGTCTGAGAACTCTGACTACTAACGGTGCTGAGCCCCTGGCCAAAAGAATAAAAGGCATAGTCTGATTGTGACGAACAAGGCAAAAAACTTCAAAGAAGATTACCCCAGGCGCTCAATGCCCAAGAAGGGCTTAGAGACATATCGCAAGGACGCAACAAATTTAATTTGAACAAAATAAATACAAAAAGTAGAAACAAAATGTTGAGAAGTTTAAGACAAACATTTCAGGATGTTGACAAAGTAAAAACAAATTATTACTTGATCATTGTTGAGGTCTTGAATATAAGAGTCAGTAATGCACCAATCAATAGAATACAGTACAAATGGCAAGAAATCCACATTACCATAAGCAACATGTTATTGCATTTGCATCGTTAAATTCCAACACAAATTCGTTCACCATAAGAAAATCCACAGACCATCTTGGAGCGCTTGAGGATACCAGTCAATTATTAAGTACATGTTGGTTAACAAGAAGATATGCTCTAGTACAAAATAAGAGGATTTATTGAGGCAAAGACTAATTTTGATAATTTCTTGTATTATAGCAAAAAAAACTATTGATATTTAAAAGTTTTCAGTTCTAGTGTTGATATAATTTCTGGAAACAAAACAAAGACACAAGAAGTAATTGGGTGAATTTGTTGCAGGAGAAGAGTACAAGGCACCTTCACCAACAAAGGATCGACACTTATCCCAGATATCTATGAATAAATATATCCAAAAGAGGTGGAATTCCAAAAAATGTGTCATCTTCCAAGCAGCAGAAACAGCTTTGGAAACAGGCCTGGATTTACATACAAGCAAAAGAAGCAAATGCTTGGGAACCTCCAGCCCAAGGGTCCCCAAGGAACCATTTGAAAAGTCAGAACAAGTTTTCCAAAACAATACATGAAAATGTATGAAAAGTATTTTTGTCGGTGCAAAGGCAAAGGGAGAAACCTTTAAAAGAACATGACTTGCATATTCTTCAACAATTGGTCACGTTTACTCTTTTGTATGTAAGCTGATCTGTCCAAATACATGTCTTCTAGCACTAGGTGGATATAACGATTGGCGGAATTCTAACACCATTACACACCATGAAAATTCAGAGCAACATGGAAACGCAATATGACAACTGACATTTTTATCTAAGCAATGGAAAGCGAATTTGAATTCCCAGCTTTCCCATAAAATTGCAACTGAAAAGAATTTCTGGTGAGAAGTATCTAAAACATTTCACGATTCAAAGACGACCATAACAGTTTTCAAATATGTACTCAACCCTTATGATATTTGTACAAAACACTTGAGACAAATTTGACGACATCAAACAAAAAGCAACAGAAGTCTTACCAAATGTTTACTTCAAAGCAGCAACATCTAGACAAAGAAGGATGAAGAGACAAGTGAATGAATAAAATGCATTATATGCTACTGAAAATGGAACACTGAAAGAAAACTTTCCTATAACATATTTCATTCCGATCATAGTCACATTATTGGTACTTTTGAAAATGGAATCTGAAGCTTACAAAAAAAATCTGACATGTTTTCAATTTTGACGATCATGGAAACAAGAGAATGAATGACATACAGCAATTGCTTAATAAATACCCTAAAGATTTTAATACAGATTTCACCATAGCGCTTATAAATTTCTGTATGTGAAGGATACATACCCTAATGCTAAGTTAGATCATGAAGGACTGTTTCACATCATATTCAAAGACATTCTTTCTTTAGCATTTTCTAATGTTGAAACGGCTTTGCAAATGTACTCAAATATGATGATTACCAACTGTACAGGTGAAAGATCATTCAGGAAACTGAAGCGAATAAAGAATTATCTGTGCACGCCTTTGTCTCAGGAAACGTTAGCAGATTTAAGAGTTATGAGTATGGAAAACGATAAGTTGCAGTCTCTCAAATTCGAAGCAATAATCAACCAATTTTCTACAGTGAAGAGCAGAAAGACAATGATGTGATTGTGGACTAGTTCAAAAATGGTCAAAAATTTATGTTGTATTATACAGGATCTCTGGGGAGGAAATGTCAAAATTTTGAAAATAAGTTCTGAAATCAATTTTAAGCATATTTTGTCAAGTAAACTACTTGGATATTCTGAACGGCTGATCCGCAATAAACACTCAAAAGTTGGTTTGAAAATAGTTTCTAAGCAAAACTTGCATTGCAGAAGCTTATAAACACTTCAGAAACATGTAAATTGTGTATTACTTTCAAAAGAATTGAATGTATTTGTTCAGAAAGAAAAATTAACATAGAAACAAAAAAGCAGTGGAATTCTGTAAATTTGGTGCTTTCTTTACAAAGTCTATTTAAAAAGTGAATAAGGAAGATGGTCCAAGTAATAAATTCAGATTAATTAATAAAGGTGTAAGTCAGGGGTGTCCCATACCATCACCCATCCTCTTTTATTAATTTTTCGATGACTGACTTGATAAGGCAATTGGAAAATCAATTAAAAATAAATTTTATTGGAAAAAGGACCTTCACTATATTGCTATTCAGACAATTAAGTTATCCTGGCAGACTCAGAAGAAAATCTGCAAAAAAGGACCCTTTATTTATTTTCAGAAAATATAACTTTAAAATACCCACATATAAACCCAAAGTGATTGGACTTAAAGGAGTCTTCCTACTTTGAGTCAAGCTTGAAATAAATAATAATATAATTAAACTTTTTAAAATTTTAATTACTTGGGGTACTATAGAGCATAAGAACATTCTAATGATTCTTGATCAAGTTCCTGAATCTACATGATAAAATGAAAAAACTCTGGAAAGTAAGACAAGAGACAAATATAATTCTAAAGAACTATGGGATTCCAGATGTTGTATACCATGCAGATATACGAAATATAACAGACCAATAGAGGAATAAGATTGAAGTACCAGAAACCAGATTGCTGGGACCCCTAGCCGACTACATTTTGCAGAATCATAGGAAAAATGAAGACACCGTCAGAGCAGCACATTAGAAATAGTATACAGTATATATTGGATTCATATAAAAGACTGGCAAAGTTTTCTACTAAGAATGGATAGTTCATGTATCCTATTACAAAGCTTTGGTATAAACCCCAAGGTACAAGAAATGCATGGTTAACCAAGCACTAGAATGATCAAATAAAATTCTTGCAAAGTGGAACACACCTAAAGGCCTTAAGACAAACCCTTTAGATTCAAACCATACAGCAAATTTAATTCCACATAAATTTGAAGTTTCTGACTAATAGTGTTCCAGAGTGGGGTTAATCGGAAGAGCTCCCCCCTCCCCCCAAATACAACAGATAGTTCAAATATCTCATTTTGTAGAATTTTAAGGAACATAACTCAGGTTCCACCTGACTCCATAGATGTTCCCTTACTAGTTTAATAGGAAAGTGAAAATGTTATTTTAAGAGTTTTTGTATTATTATTTCTTTAACTTTTGTTACCGAAGCAAATTAAGCAGTGACTCCCTTGGTGAATGAAACTGGAAATTCTAAAAAGCTGGAGTACCTTGCAAACTGGGTTTCAAAGGCCTCAGAAGTACGATTTAAGAACTGTGCTCAAAATTTGGAATATTTTTATATCTTCAGGGAGAGGGGAGGAAGAAAATGCTAATATTAATACATTTGACATACACCCTAGGACCTCAGATTTCCAAAAAAAGTTTATTTATGCTTCTCAGTTGCATACTTTCTGAAATTTAAGTTAAAAATGTTTGCAATCTTTAACAAAATATATACAAAATAAACCAACAATTTTTTTTTTATTCATAAAAAACTGTGTTGTGGAAAATTTGAATTGTGTAATGTTGAGTTTTTCTGAGAAGAATCCTCAATTATAAGTACACTTACTCGTGAATTGAACTGAAACACTTCAGACAACAACGGACCAGGACTTAGGAACTCAGCAAAATGATTCATAAGCTTTTGGGCTTCAACTGCTCTAGCTCGTGGAGTGTTAACACTTTCCAACTGATCTCCTAAATGAAGAACTTTAGTGGCCACATAATTGATTCGTTCATCCAGTTCTTGAAAAAGATTTACCGAAGCCTGCAACATAACACAGAATTTATAAAGCTCTCCCTGGACAAAACATACGTTTGTTAGGCTGTGTTTCTTTATGCAAATGGGTCAGTGTGCCAAAGCCATAAGCCACAATTTTCAGTTTTTCAAGTCGACCATATCAGAATCCTCTCTGAACACCTCTCTTACCATTCATTATATTGAGTTTCCATTTTCTACCCATAGGGTTGAATAATACCTGTCTGATTCACTCTCCATTGATTTGTAAGTGTATGCCAAACGTTAAAAGATGCTGTATGCCAAAACTGCTCAAATTTGGCTTGTGATTATCTCAACTGAGCCCTCAATGCATATCTTATGTATAATATGTACAAAATAAATTAATTTTTTTAAAAAAAAATTATACTTTATTTTTTTCTTGCAACTGGGAAACTTTCTGCCAATGGCCTATTTCTTCTTCTCTACAAATCATTTCTAAACGTTCACATTTCTTCTGTTGTCTCTCTTGTAGAATTTGTAGATCTCTGTGAATTAGAATATAAAGAAATTAGATGGAATATACGTTATATTTTTAATTTTTTAACTGCACTTGGATAATTAACTCGCGAAACCTTACTTAATTGCCTGCAGAAATGTTTCATGAAGTAAAACAGGATCGAAGTTGCCAGGATTTTCATCACGAGAAGCCCCAACAGTTCTCCATGCCATTCTTTCCACAAACTCTTCAGGATCAAATGGTTCCTAATAATCATAACCACTTGCAATTCAAAAATCTTAAAATACATACAATATGTAAACCAATCAACAATCAACATGTTCTGTACCTGCTCCAATTCTTTCATATACTGTTGCATCATCATCTTGGAGGTTAATGTTTCACAAATAAATACAGGAAACCCTTAATTACGTTTAATTCATCAGTCGTTAATTTTGTTATAAATTCATAATTCTTAAAAACTCGGATACAGTCCTACATGAGTTACGTAAAATATTGGGTCCAGTTTAAATTCGAGGTTTCAACATATATCCCAAAGCAACGTGATTTCACCATGCGTACTCATTCTTAGAGTCAAAATGTATTGTATCAAACGTCAAACGTTTGTCATATAACGTATTCAGCAGGTAAATCGGTTAACCACTCCTACCACAGAGCACCCCCTCCGTGTAGTCCAGGAGCGTGAAGCTTGGCGGTCAAAACGGGGTAATGATTTCTGCGCTATCTACAGCAGGTCCGTAGTGAGTCAAACTAAATGTTTACGTTAGTGCAGGCTGCGTACAGGAAGGTACTTTTTATTATCCAATTTTTTCAGCATTTTGTTAGTATGTAGAATGTCGTGTCTTTTAAATAGAGTGAATTGTGGTTTACACCATGCAAAATAGTCTTAAAAATCCTTAAATCCATGTAGTATAATCTAACCTAAGTACATGGTACTAAGTACATATATTTATTCTGTACTATTTGTTTAAAAGTATTGTAATTATATTATTTCTAACCAATCATTTCGTATGGTATAGGACAAGTTTTGTAATATATCCAATGTATATCCATATATCCATTGTTTGCAATGCCCAGGTATTTAAAATGTCTCATTTTCAAATATACATAATTCATTACTGTTTGCATTTCTAGAATAGGTACACTCTCATTAGTGTATGATAAAATGCAATAACTTCATTTGCTTAGGTGTACGAGTTACGTATCCATTCTAGAGGTGATATTCGAGTTGCTGTATGTTTTGAGGAGATAACTGGCAAGATATAAAAGAATTGGACTTCACCAACATTAGAAGATGGAATTATATCAACAGTGTTTCCTCCAAAGCACAGCCCTCTTGACTTCTCATAGAACATTCATGATTAGGTAGTATGCTGTATGCTGCTGATGCGTAAGATTGGTTTTGGGATCTTAGGTGAGGAAAGGTTTAGAGTGAGTTGGTTGGGGGTGGGTGGTTAAATGATTTGGTCATCTGTACTTGTCATTTTTCTGTGGCTTTCACTGTGAAGGAGCATTGTGTGTCATAGCTGGGTGGATTAGGGAGCAGTTGATCCATTTTGGGGTTTTATAAAAGAAGATACGGCAGTGTATTAATGATTAATGATACGGCAGAAATAATGATTTCTTTTATAAAAATCCTTTGATAAAATGTAGCTTCAAACGTCCAAGTTTTATCATACATCTGGTAACATTGCGTCCGATAAGTGTACGTGGGGTATTGCTTCAAGCAAAGTTTTAATAGCAGAATATGAGCTATTAGAATGTATAATACTGTTCATCCGGACTACAAAAGTAAAAGCAAACGAATTGACGCATAATACGTATTTTCCCAAGATGTGGAAAATGCCCAATTCATGAATGTTATTTTTTATTTCATTTATTTATTTTTGACTTCAAAATCAGGGGACTCAACTTCCAAAAGAGGAAGAAGAATGACAATTTTAATTGAATATTTCCTCGTCCTTTCTCAAATAATTCTTCATTTCTAATTTATTTAATTTATACTTCACAATGTGCGATCCATGGCCTCACCAAGTCCCCCTCCATATTCAGAGTATGTATACAGAGGGACTTGCCCTCACCCCAAACGTCGTCTCTTTACTTTTTTCTTCTTCAGCATTAAACCAATGTTATCTAGGGGGCGTTGAATAAACATAGATTATTCGGGATTTATCGTCTGCCTTGTGCAGTTTCAAATCAAGCGTAATGCTGTTACTACTATTATCCGCGCAAGTTTTCTTGAATCCTCGCTTCGCTAGTTGGGGTGATGGAAAAGATTCTTAAAAGAATCCAACGCGTACGCCCAGCTCTTTACAGAAGCAGACTGGTTCCTGCTGCACGATAACGACCCAGTACATGCATAAACGATTGTCAGTTTGTAAGTAAAAATCAGGTGACCACCTTGTCCCACCAACTTTATTTACCCGATCTGGCCCAAACATGACTTCCTGTTCCTCAAGTTAAAGGCACCTTTGGAAGGAAAGAGGCATGCGTATGTTTCCGAAATTCAACAGGCAGTGACAGCCCACCCAAGACAGATTCCGAAGATAGACTTCTGTAGGGCATTCCTAAGACTTCTGGACAGAAGCCATCAGTGTGTTGAAAGAGGAGGAGATAATGTAGAAAATTAAGTGAACCAAAGTTAAATTGAACCCAAAATTAATTTTATTAACAAATCCCGTACATTCGTACAATTTAAATTTTGTTCACTTAATTATATATATATATATATATATATATATATATATATATATATATAACCCGACAGATCCTTTTCCATCCCTAACTACACCACAACAAGGACCGACCGACCTTCATCCGCTGGAGGCGGAAAGGCAATCTCCACCCGACGATCCATCCTACACACCAATTACCAACTCCCTCCAACATCCTTCCTAGAATGCACTGCAGTTTCCATTTGAACCTCCACATCTCAAATACTTCTCATATCCTGATACAAATCCCCCACACACCAAATCTCGACTCCGACCTAGACATCCTTAAAAACCTTCCCTACCCCTTCATCACCGCAGGCGCCCTCAACCGAGAATCGACCTCATGGGGCTGCATGACCAGTAACGGGACCGGAATACGACTAGAACATTTTATAGACACACAAAAAAACAAATAAAAATCCCTACTGAACCTACCCACTTTGTTCTACATATTCCCCACCAATATCCTTTATATTATTCTCCACTTCTTCCAAATACTAATAACCATTCCCCCACCAAAATACGTCCTATACTACTTATTTGACCACTCCCAATTCTTTTCACCAGTTCCTCAACCCCCAACTACCCATGTTTGCCAAACCCCTTCAATACCAAAGACCGACTGGAAAAAAATTAAACACATACTGTTAAGAAAATACACGTTCCCTCAGATATCCCGACTACCAATCCATAGACAAATCCATAGATCACCTAACCTACCACATAAGACAAACATACCGAAAAACTACATCCAACTCCAGAAATGTTCACCATACCCTCCCTGACGAAATCCTCACGATTATAAGACACAAAAGACGAATTCAACGACGATACTACAAATGCAGACGAGACGAAGACAAACGAGAACGGAAAATGACGCAGAAAGTAAAACACAATCTACTGAAACAGCATGAAACACACACGTAGGATGACCTACTATCTGACAAAATCAGCACCAATAATATCCACAGTCATAAAGCCACTCCTATATTCTCCAATCATAACCAACAACAACACTTTACCCTTTGACCCCCAAACCTCACCAATACTTTCGCCCAATCCCTGGCCGAACGCTTCCTTCCCCCCAATATCCCAATCCCAGACAGTTCTTTCAAACTTCCTTCAGACTATTCTATCCCCTACCACACCATGCTATCCCCTACCACCCAACCAACAACAGACATAGACGACAAACGACGTGGAGGAAAACAAATACTTAAGACGATAGATTGCAATAAATCTCCCGGACCCGATGGAGTCCTCTCATCTCCACTTACCCACCTAAGAATGCAATAGAAATGGTCACCCTCATCGTCAACTCCTGCCTAAGAATGTCCTACTTCCTCACCATCTGGAAGATCGCTCGCGTTACCATGATCCACAAATTTGGCAAAGATCATCGGCTGCCATCTAACTTTCGTCCCATCAGCCTACTACCCATCCTAGGTAAAAATTCGAAAATATCCTCTTCTCCGCCTAACACCTACCTTCGGTCCCATCATAAGGTCCACACATTGGTTTCTGCGAGGGTCGCTCCGCGGCCCTCAAAACATTAAAACTATACCGAGCCATAGCCACTCCACTCCAAGACAAAAATCCTCGGCCATTTTCACAGACATTACCCAAGCCCATGATCAGTCTTTCATCCAATCCTCACAAAAATCGGACCCTATATCCCCGATCAAATCCACTCCCCACAAATCTACATAAACTATAGCTCCTTACTCATCCGACACCTATCAAAAACCTCTCCCAACTACCCAATCCAAGCCGGCGTCCCACAGGGGGCTGTGCTAGGCCCTATTCTATTTCCATTAATATAAATGACGTCCCATCCACCGAGGAGTACAAACGTTCCTTTATGCCAATTATCTTGCTTTTCTAGCTACTCATTTCGCTTTCTCCTTCCGTTCCCTAAACCGATCTTTATCCTACCTTCAAGAATCCCTAAACTGCTTCCATCTCTGGACTTCCCAAAAACCCCATTACCATGAACCTATTCAAATCCCATGCCATCCTATTTTCCTATAAAACATACCCATCAAACCCCCTCCCCTAACCATTGCAAACGTACCAATCCCCTGGACACCAGACACCTCGGCATAACCTTCCCCCGCAGACTCTTTTGGTTCCACCATATACACAAAATTACCGTCAGAGCAACCAGGATCACCAATACCTTATATCTCATCCTCACCAATCCCCACATATCCAACAAGAGAAAAATTCAAACTTATAACTCCTATATCCGTCCCATCCTAACATATGCCCATCCCACATGGTTCGCTACATTCCATACCAACCACACCAAACTAACCCGCGTCGAAACCCCAACATCTGCCTCATCTTCCCCACCCATGTATACAATCTACAACTCCATACGATACCAAAACAAAATACCCCACATTCTCACATACCTTTACAACTCTGAAATAGCACAAATCCAAAAATATATCAACAACTCCCTATTCCGAAAGCTAATCCTTTCTCACCACCACATTCTCAGAAACCCACCTCGACACACCCGGAAAAAGCATTCCTTAGACATCCTCTAACTTCCCTTCCTATCACCTAAGCAAGAGGGCAAAGACAAACAAACGACTAACAAACAGAAAAAAATGTTAAAAATGATTGACGCCGCTGTAAACGTCTTCGACAACAACTCCGCCGCCTTCTTTCTCCACCCCTGCTCCCCTCTTCCCTCTCACCCCACCCTATCCTTTCCCATCCCTGTCCCTCCTCTGCCCCGGCATCCAAAACCCGAATAAAACAACCCTTCTCTCTATAAACAAAATAACACGTCGACCAACAACCCAGACCCCGTCGGAGAAAAGGAGTCAAATTCTCTAAAGAAAAGCCCACCAGATGCCCACAGCTCGAAGAGACCCCGCAAAGGGTTAGGCAAACGTAATTAAAAAATCTAAGGAGTCGCCCGAAACGTCGCCGCCTGCTTCTGTCGTCTGCGCGCGCGCTGCTTGCGCTGACTGTTGTTGTGGTGAGTGTGCTGCTTTCGCGAAGGTAGTGCTCTTATCTACCTTGCAAACAGTGTTTTTTGTGGCTTCGGCTTAGCATTTTTGCTCTTGGCTGCTTGTGAGCCTTGCAGCCGGCGTAGTTTGCAGAGTGATTTGCTCCGCAGTTGCAAAAGACAACAGGTTTGTTGTTGTTGCTGCAGTCCTTTGTCAGATGGCCTTCGCCGCAGTGAATGCTGCGTGAGCTGATCTGGCAATAGGCGCGCGTGACCAGCGACAGCACCTTTGCAGAAAGGTGCGCTGCTTCTTCGCTTCACGACCTCGATGCGCGTCCGTCAGTGACAGATCGCCTTCAAGGCAAACAGCCACTTGCCAATGACACCCGGAGTGATGTTGACGAAGTACGCACCTAACGGTACTAATTTCCCGTTTCGGTGCCTCTTCAGTTGGTGTACTGCAGGCATGAGTTTCTCAGGGCACTGCGCTGCAATGTCGTCAGCAACTTCATCCTCTGACACTTGGGGAGGCGGGCAGCTCACGTAGATTTTAAGTCTCCTTCTGCGCTTGACGTGCGACGCTTGCAATTTCTTCAGCGCTGCCTCAACCTTCGCATGGTCGGTGGCGTTCCGCGCTTGCAGAATGAAGAATTCTCCGCAATGCTTGCCCGTAACCGGGTGTTATCAGCCTTGCGTTGCCGTTTTGAACCAGCGGAGTGAGCCGTCAGAAGGCACCGTGGCGTTCGCGGCCACAATGGGTGGGACGCGTTTGGAACCCTTCGTAGGCTCTGAAATGGTCGCAGGCTGCGAGGCCGATGTAGGTAGCGACAGGGAGATGGCATAGGCGCGATTTCCACCTGGCACTGCGGCAAGGGTGGAAGATGTGAGACGGCGCCGGGAGGCGCGAGCTCAACCGCGAGGGCCTGCGCCTCGCTGTTTCCGGCTAGCGGGGCCGCGACGGCGGCGGCTGCATCGCTCCCGACAGGCACGTTGTCCACCTGCATTCCTTCCCATTTTCAGGCAGAGCTACAAAGCTGCCAGGTGGAAGGCGTGACGCTGCCGGCGTGTTGCCTGAAAGGCAGCGCTTCTTGTCTTTGCCGGAGGTCTCGGCGTCGGCGAGCAGTGGTTGTGCGCAAGGTGGGCGAGAGTAAAACTCCGAAAGCCCATTCTTGACGGCGACTTTTCTGAACTGTGATTGTTTAGCAAATGTCAGTGAAGAGCGATAGCAATGCAGTAGTAATCAGTAAAGAGCGTTAGCAATGCCCGAAGCTCTACCCTTCCTGCTCTTTTTGTTGGCCCCTAAAGGGTCCGTTTGAATGGCAGAGAAATCCTGCTGATTGATGACGCCTGGGATTTCTCCGGCGTCATGATGGCCGAAGCGGCGGCGGATGCAGTTGCAGCGGCGGTGTTGGTGGCGGTGTGAAACGCGGCAATGTCGTCGGGTGCAATCGAAACCAAGCCACTGTTGGTCGAAAAGACCAAGGTACCCCGGTCAGAAAGCATGCAGACCCGTTCCCGTTGAAAGCCGTAGCCGTTCTCTATTACTGAAAATGGAAGCGGCACTTTGCTCTCCGAAGAAAGAAAATTCGCAAAAAACAGAAGTACCAAGTCCTAAAATGGACTTGAAAAGTTTGGTTCTTAAAAGGACAGATCGTTTTTGCCCCTAAGCCCTAAAAAGGGCTGATGAATATGAAATTTTAAATTAGTCCCGACATTGCATAGGCCCAAAGCAACATTTGTATTAGTTATTAAGTTTAGATTATAAGTTAGTTTATTTAAGATAGGCCCTAATCTTTGCTGCAGCGAATTGTGTACCCCGACAGTAAAATCAATTTCCGCCTCTCCACGGCAACTGGAGAGGGGAAATGAAACATTTGACAGCAGTACGCTCTGAGGAAGGCCACAAGATGTTGGCCGAAACGTTAGCCACCAAGTCCATGATGCGGCGCATCCCGGATAGTCCAGAAGATACCAATTTATATAATTTGATCCATTGACTATGACACGTCCGAGGACAAGAATGAAGTACGGTCTCTTACGGCGACAGTGATGGCAAACGTGGCGCTTTTCTGCCGTACTGTATGAATCGCAAGTTACGCGCTCGATGTAAACAACGAATCCTGTAATGGGGCGGAGCGCTAATTTAGCGCTCAAGTACTTTATCTTGAACCTTTTCAATTTACTGAAATTGTATTTCCACCCTTTGCTCAAATCTAAAGCTGCTCCTAAGAGACTGAAGAACGTTTCTGTTAAGCTTCTCACGTCCTTTGAACTTCGAAATGTCATAAGAAATACTGATTTTGAAGTGCACCACTATTTCAATACAATATCCAAAATTCAAGCCAACTACATGCAGTAGCAAACAGGCCAAACCTCGTATTTCCTTTTTAATAAGTTTTGATTACCGAACAAAATATTTAAAATTTCTTTGATGACAAAATAATTCGGATCCACGGAAACAAACTGATTTGATTCAGCCGAAGCTGAAGAAACCGAGCTGCCTCGCGCCAGAGGGGCGGACAGTTATCTAGCGGTAGGCATTGCGCACGAATCCCGTTGGAAAATGTAATTATAGCTAAATAGTTGTAATAATTAATGATTGTTTATTTTCATTATTGAGCACTTTACCACTCTTGAACTATTCGATATATGGACCGTACGTTCTAAATTAAGTTTACAAAAAAGGAATTGTTTTTTAAAATTATCAATTAGTAAATTTACAACCTAAAAACCAAAATGAAGAAAAGTAATCGAAATCAAATTTAACTTTGATGCGATTCAAACCATAAATCTCAAAAACAAAACAACTATAAACAGGCGAACAAATGTGTTAACAATCAGAACGCGAACTTTCTGAGCCCAGTATGATTCGGCAACCGATGCACGTGGCACCGCAGCTGTGGCTGATCCAACAGTCGATCGTATCATTTCTTCAAAACATAATATATTCTAAAAATATTCACTACAGTTTGTGGTAAATACATTATGTATTCGAAGTATTATTTTACTAATTGTTGTGATGAAAAATTATGTTAATGACTGTATAAAACAGTTTTGAAATCTTAAAAAACGGGGGTATGTTTATTTATTGGAAAAGCACAAAATGACCTGTACTTCATTGTTAACCTCGCACGCGCTAAATTAAAAAAAATAATATTTCTTCTGCGGTAGTAATTAACTTTGACCTAACCAATGAATTCATTACTAATTCACATTTTACAGACTTTCATTGATACTTTGCCTATTTCTTGTGAAGCCTTTCAATGAATTACAACTGACGATTTCGGGAAATTGAATCTGTGAGGTTAGTAAGATGCACTCATTAAACATAAATCAGTTGACAAGCACGAAAATAGCGATAATATAGCACCACGAAAATACAGTTAACAGCACACGCTACCGCCACAGTATGGAATAAATTCAATTTAAAATGGCCGAATGATCGATTACCGTGCAATGTAAGTCGCCCGCAAAATTCGGCGAAATAGCGGAGCCGGGCTTGCCCCACCAACACTTCGAGTAAGCGCATGCGGAGAGACCAAAAATGCACTCGATAGCTTCCCGCTAAGGCTGGGAGTTTCTGCACGTCATAAAGTTAGCATTATCGATCTTCTACGCATGAGCAATGCACTAAACTTGTGCGAAACTGAGTTGAGCAGAACATCGATAGTAGTTTAACTTTCGACGTGGCACATTTATATTAACGTGTCTGCACGACATTGCGTTAGCACACTCGACCTGTGCATGCACAGAAAGTGGTGCAAAACTTGAACTGTGCATGCGTACAAAATGGATAATGCTAACGTTCGAAGTGGCCCAAACTTGTTACTTTTGTGCATCTGCGCCTGTGCAAAAGATCGAGATTGCAGTCGATCGCTGTCCGCTATGGCGTACGCCAACTCCGTAATCAGTCTTAACCACCGCCACCACTCGGAAAATAGAGTACACTATTCATACATGAATAGACTTAAACCACACAATCAGCTTTTATTAAAAAAATTTTAACTGACATACTATTGGGAGAACTGCAGTCTAAGTTATCAGCGTGAATCAATTCTCTCGAGTTTGCAATTACATTTCACATTTCTACACACTGCGGAAATAAGTTTTGGAAAAAACTTGAATCTAGCAATTATATTAACTCCCCGGTTTGGAACAATTTTTTCCACTCGTCAAGTGAGGCATGCCTCTAAAAATCTTTTATACAACTTGCATCAGACCTTTTCTGTAAGGCCAATTGTCATATTAGCCTTTATCAAATTTCAACCTTGCATTAAGCCCCATATGAAGCAGTTTCAGTCTTAAGGTTCACAGGAATAATTTCATAATTCACCTTACCTTTGAAAACTCAAACCTCTTTCACTCAAGACTAACAGAAATTTTAGGAACAAAATAAAACATTATCATACTCAGAACATTTATTTCTCAGGAGAACCACAAGTGATAGCTACAGGAATTACAATTCATGGAATGACAATCTGATCTAGTGCACCGCATACTTCAGCAAATGCGGTACCCACCATCACACTGAATGGCTCCAAGGAATAAAATATGAAAAAGCATCAAGCATGCAATCAATAATTTACTCACTCCCCACCCTGCAGAGAAGTATCCTAATGCCATAATTCATAAACCAAAGTTAATGCATGTATATGAAGTATGTGTGTATATATATGCATAATCTATTTTTTACATATCGTGACTTGCTTATAGATATCAAACTTATTAGTTTCAGTTACCATACACAAATGTTCCTCACATTCAATGCCAGATGACAGGGCTATTCCAGAACAACCACTGTTCTGGACACATCTATACATTTAGTACTGCTAAGCCTAAAAAGTGGTGCACAGGTGGCAACTGATCACTTCTAAAAGTCCATTCTGCCATTTGATGCCCTCAGGGCACTCAAAACAGTGTCCTCACAAGGGGTTCCAGTAAACTCCGTAGAATCTATTCATTTTATAAATACAAAATCAAATAAAAACCATGAAACACTGTACCATTGTCACTGGATAACCTCATGCCACATCAAGATTGCTCTCCCAGGCAAATCATGTTTGCAACACTGCAATATGGGAAACGGTAACCTCATCTGCAATTCTGAAGAAAAACATGCATTAAAACATAGCTATAATAATACCACAGATTAAAATGTGTCTTTATATTTTTATTACAGAAGAATTTACAACAATGTGCAACATCTTTCCCACTCATCAATACAATGTAACTTCAAAGACTTATCCATCAATGAAGTCTGGAACCAGCTTACAATATCTTACATCTCAAAATATATCTACCTCACAATGCCAACAAGTCCACACCAACAAACATTTCATCTACACCAATATACTAAAGCCAATAATGCAAAATGTTTATAAAAGTGAAGTGAAAATATCTGAAAATTCATTTCCCTTGTTGCTGGTGGAACCAACAACATAAAGACTGATGGCACAGCTCCCAAGGTTACTGGCTGAAGGAAATAATGATCAAAGCTTCATACGAACTAATTATATATACAATGTAAAGATATGCATCTATCACATATGCAAGCTTCAGGCACACTTACTATGATTCTAATTTCAGCAGCATCCTGATTTGGGAGGATCCACAGGCAGGCCCTTAGCAATGTTGACCTTACTGGCTGGATCAGGTGCAGAAGAAGGAGGCCCAACACGATTCTTGATCTCAGCTGCCATTGTCATGAAAGACTGCTCTACATTGAGTGATGTCTTGGCTGAGGTTTCTAGGAACGGAATACCAAGCTGATCGGCATATTCCTACAACAGAAGACATTTAACAGTTAAAACGTAAACAAAAAATTTCATAATTAACAATGTGATTGAAGGTCTACTCATTTGAAACCATTTCACGGGTAATGAATGATTAGAATAAAACTTACTTTTGCAGTTGTGTAGTCCACAACTTTTCTAGCTGTGAGATCACATTTGTTTCCAACTAAAAGTTTGTTCACACAATCACTCGCATAGCGTTCTATTTCTTCCAGCCACTGCTTCACATTATTGAAAGATTCTTGATCTGTACAATCATAAACCACTATAATTCCATGTGCTCCTCTGTAATAACTGGATGTAATTGTGCGGAAGCGCTCTTGACCAGCAGTATCCCACTGCACAAGGATAACAAGGTTTTAAATAATTTTAGAATCCAAGACAAAATTAGCAATACTATAGATAAAATACTTACTATTTGCAATTTTATTGTCTTTCCATCCAAAGTCACTGTTCGAATTTTCTGAAAAATGTTGAAGGATATGTTACAGTTGAATTATCAAATAATATATTTCATCAAATTAGGCAAGTGTAGTAACTTTTGTGATGACATGGAAAAAACCAACAACAAAAAACAATATGACATCTAAAGTGTATAATAATTTAAAATTAGTTATAAAATCGTTATGTCTATCATGTTCTTTACAATTCTTAGGATACCAAAATAAAAGTTGAGAAAGAAAGAAAAATTATCTTCACTGAAAATGAAGTGTTACATGGAATACGACACAAATTAAAATATCAAATTTCATCCCAGCATTCTTTCCATACTATGCACTTCAACATTTTAGAACAACTGAATTTAGCTTTATATAAAAAAAAAAATATTGGTAAAAATTTTAAACCACTACAAGGTGGTCACCAACATCCACCACACACTTTTCATTAATATTTCACTCAAAAGACATGGAAGTAAACAATGACTATAGAGAGAGTGTTATGCAAAATTAAAATTTATTTTTGAATACTTGAAACATACATCATTTAAATTTCCAATTTAAAGTCCTTCTTCATTAATAAAACTTTACATTCTAATAAGTGATCAATTTCATCAATAGACTAAGCTCTGGAAACAAATTACAACATGCAATGGGCTTAAATCGGACATAAGCAAACTGTATACTTCTTTTAACTGATGTCAATCTTGCCCAAATAACCTTTCACTAATTAGGTTAGCCCAAAGATTTCATTGTTTTAATATCGTTAACTTGCAATAAACTTCCAAACCAAATGAAATACTACATTATCATGATAAAAGAATATTTCATCAACATAATCTACACAAAATGCACTTTACAATGAAAAGAAAATTACATTTTATTAATTTAAACAAATGGTTAGTAAAATATCAATTCATACTTACAAAATCTACTCCAATTGTACTTATGTAACTTTCAGAATACGTATCATCCTGAAAATTAAACATTTTAAACATTATTTCACACCTAAATATTAAATTATTATATTAACACATTTTAATAATTTTTAATGATCTTACAGCAAATCTGAGCAATAAGCAGGACTTTCCCACACCAGAATCTCCTATCAGCAGCAATTTGAAAAGGTAATCACTGAAATAAAACAATCAAGAAAACATCTTTGTAATTAAAGGCATTGGTATTAGACAATAGACAACAGAAATTTTCAAGACACCAGCATTAATTTACAGTATCTGACACAAAGGAACAAAGACAATATATCCACCAGTAACACTAACACCTAACTACGAAACAAATGCAAGATTCCGAAAGTAATTGCACTACAAATTACCTCTACAAAAAGCCTCGATAAATTTTATGTCAATATATATTACCGTGCAGACTGCTAAAAGTCTACTACCTGTCATGGATGACCATGAGTCATTATTGGAAAAAATACGCCCACTTTTCAAGATACAAAACGCACTACTTCAACAAGTATGCTTTCCTGCGTGGCAAATCAGATAGTGGTCAGCTAATGATTTCTTTGGTTGACATAACTTTATAAGGAATACAATTAAATCGAAAATGACGTACTGGAAACGGGTGTTGTAATGCGTATCCTGGATGCAAAAATTGAAAGGCATTTGCAGTAGCTGCGAATGTTACTTACTATTCAGGATTCATCGTAGACACCATCTAATAAAACAGATAACGGAATTTTCGTCGTACAAGGAGATTTGGAGGCGTCAGATATGAAACTCAGCAAATTTTCTCGGAAAAACAACACCAACAATGGCCGCCTTCACCAGACGAGCAATACGCGTCTGGAAGTCTGAAACATTGACGTAATGCCAAAGTGGCAGAAGCTATGAGAATATTCTGAGTCAAACCTATAAGCCGCGTTCAGAAATTGAGTACGGTTACAGCTTTGGTTACTTAAACATTCTAGTTATTCCTTGCATGATGTGAAATTAATTTCTTTAGGATTAAAAAATCGTTTAATATTCAGTAGATTAATTTATGTAATTTGAAATTTTTATTTTCGATTGTAGCAATAATAAAGTATAATCGTGTACGTTATACAAAATATAATGCAAACATTTTACCGGACCGATTCGCATACGTCTTCAAAGCTAAAAATAGTGTAATATTTAACATAGTTAATAACTAAAACTACGACACGAAATCAATATTCAAAAACGACAAAAATTCACTTGTTTTTTTTAAAACAAACAGCATTATCATAAGTAGATCGGAAAAATATGTAGTGTGAAACGTCAAAATACGTAGAACATGAATATGTAACAAAAACAGTAAAAATAAATAAAAAACTTACATAATCTGTAATATTAGCATACACTAATTTTAAACGAACATTTACAAAATAAAACATTACATTTATGTAAGAATGCCGAAACAAATTTTTTTAAATAATACAAACGTTTAAAATATAATTTGGAGACCACAAATTGATTCACATTTTGCCTCATTTAACATTCCCACCAGTAGTAAAAGCTTCACTTATTGCTATTCAGGACTGAAGTTTAGCCGCTAGAGTATTATAGACCATAATAGTTGAGGCTATCGAACTAATGGGCAATATCTACGAAACCAGCAAACCATCACTGCAGTGCATATAAATGCCACATGTACCTATTATTTATATTATTCATATAAATATACAATAATTAAATCTCAAAGCAATAATTACAAAAATATCCAATTTAACACAAAATTGATAATAATATACTTACTAATATCTCTATATGTGATAGCAAAATTTTGATAGCAGGTGCGATTATATGTACACATAATGTAGCTTATTGGGCTAGGCCATTTAGAATATGTAACTAGAGAAGTTAGTCTTGCAGTAGCTATCTCTAACACTATGACTGACATACCTTTTCTGTAATTTAAAAATATTATAAATTTTCAACTTTTCAAGTCACGTTAAATGTCGAGTCCTTCTTACCGTTCTCAAACTTGTAGTCTTGGCGAATCGACGCCGTCCTAACACAATATCAATTTAGTTCGTTACATATTTTAACATATTTAGTACCATAGTATTACATATTTTGCTACTTTCTACTACTACTAAATATTTTTTATTCATTTAATTTTCTTCAATGTTTTAGTACAATCAATGTTTTTTATATCATAAGTATTTTCAAAAGCGTCAGGACTTCTCCCTAGATTATTACTGTGTGCTGTCTACTCGAGGTACCCAACATGAAGACGCGGTCGATGTTCTCAGTCCGGCGCGCCTGTTCAGTTTTCTCAAAGGCAGGAAATGTGCGTCGGTATAGGGTTACCATACGTTCTCTTTTTGAATTAAGAAAAACTGTCCGGGTGAATTTTAAAAGAAAGGATGAAAAGTCCTCTTTTTTATTAGAGAGGGGAGAACTAATTTTAAATGCAACGTAGAGATATGATATACAAAATATATATGAAAACTTGTGCTCAGAGTTATATATGGCGGCCAAATAGACAAGAAATAGAAAACTGTGTATATCAATGTAAGAGGTGCCAAATTCATGAAAATAATCCTCCTGAAGCTCCTCGTCAGAATATCGAAAACACTTTAAATGACTGGTCTACATTACACGTTGATTTTGCTGACCTTCACATGGGAAAAGTATACCTGATTGTAGTCGACGCAATATCCATGTGGGTAGAAGTGGACATAATGAAATCGATGTCATCCACAGGAGTCATCCAGAGTTTCCGCAGAATATTTGCAAGAATGGGAATACTAGATTTTATTATCTTAGATAACGGACATTCATTCGATTCGAAGGAGCTTCATGAATTTTATGACAGGATTCCAATCAAGTACAGTACAATTCCGTCATATCCATCGAACAATGGGCAGGATGGATGAGTATTCCGTATTACTAAGAAGATTATAACACAATTGCAGGAAGGAGATGGTGAACTACAGGTGCAGAGATTGCTTTTCTGAGAACACACAACAGTGCATATCGGTACCGAGAAGACGCCAACTGAACTCTTGATGGGAAGGAAGCTGCGAACAGTTCTCGATAAAATGTATCCCTATGCATTGGAATGGAAAAAACAAAGCAGACAAAATTACGACACAAAAACTACACTCGTTGGAATCAGATGATTTGGTCTATTTCCGGAATTACAAGTCTTGTTGACAAATTCTGATAACCAGAAGTGTTTGCTCCTGCTTAATAGAAAATAGTTTGCATCGAAAAACCGGCTACAGACCGGCTTCATTTAATAGAATTATCAAAACCCCCACTCCCCTCACATCTAGCGAAATGAGGGCTCAGGAAAACGTGCGTGGATAATACAATTAATCTACTCAATGAAAACATAATCAAGCGACATGTTGATCACATGAGAAGAAGAATCGAGAATACTAAAGATGACCAGAAATAACATATAACAAACAACAAACCCAAATTAACACGCAAAGGATTCCTGTGCCAGATCAAATAATTATGCCTCCTGTAACGGAGTCGCAGACACCATCCAATTCCCATCGTCCTGATCAAAATGTGTAAGACGTTTGGAGCGACCGCCGTTCAACAAGGGTCCGGAACTTCGAGCTGAGATAACTACGAACCTGCGGGAAGTCCGAGAAGAACGAGCGGGAAGCCCGAGAAGAGCTGAACTAACGTCTCAAGCGGATCCACAAGGAGAACCTAACAGTCAGTCGCGACCTAATCGATTGATTGTGAGACCGACGCGTTACAAGGATTATATTTCATATCAAGAGTGAAGAGATGTGTATTGCACTGGCTTTCGAGTATTTATGAATGTTCTGTGCATGGGGTTAGACTTTGGTACAGTTATGAGTCTATATTCAGATCGAGATGGCGGTCAAAAGCCGTTACCGTGCGAGTACATGTAGTGCAATGTTTTGTAAATAACCTGAATAAACACGCACAATTCAGATCTTAAACTTTAAGTATTTAGGTAAATACTTAACAAAAATGATGAAAATTGATAGAACAAAAATATTTTGTAAACGTAAAATATATAAAAATATGTAACGAAAAAATTGGACATTGTGTTAGAATGGCGACTATTAACCAGGATTATAATTTTATACATGGAAAGTAGAACGAGAAAAATATGTGATTACAAAACATCCGGTCTCTACATATAACATAAAGTAACCGGTTGGTTTCGTGGCATATTTAAGTGCTTTCTCTCTCTTTAACAAACACACACATTTCAGAGTTACTAATAAAGACAATGTAACGGTACTAGATGTCGCGAATTCGACGTAGTATGTCTATCAATAAAATCGCGGACTCAGCGAGAGTGCAACCTATATCTGCTGTCCGCAAGCGATTTATGGCGAGCGCGAGGGGTAGGTCGGAAGGGGTTGTGACGTGGTATCTACCGTCAAGGTGAGTCCGGACAGCTGACAACTCCTTCTCCTTGGAGGAATGTCGACTGGGTGAGTTGTTCAATCGCCGGCGTGTTCGTTGAGTCGGAGTAGTGGACGCCATCTTGGCGAGTGTGAGAGGCAGTAGCAGTTAATAGGAGAAAATGTAGTTAGGAAGAGATAGATAAAATCTACATAGTCGACTTGTAGATTTGTAGTATAAAAGTTAGTTTGAACTGTGGAGATTTGCGAGGAACTGAGTACGAGCCGAAATAGCTACCGCGAGGTACATATTTACGTTGAGGTGAAACGGCAGCGAGAACTAATACAAAACAGCCGTATAATTGAAAATGTACCGCAGACGATGCCAGGGACGGAAAGACGCCGTTTGCCATACACGCTTAAGAACCAAGTGATACGCATAAAAAGAGTGGTGGAAGAGAGAAAAAGAGACTATTATTCTGTTTTGGGGTCGAGAGAATCAAAAGAGAAGAATTGGGGGGCAGATTCGACCTGGATCTGGTGGACGGCTAATGAAGACTTAAGTTCGGGCGGCGCTGCAAGTCTGCTAGTTCTGCAACGAAGCGAGGTGACAGCATGATCCTAGAGAAGGCCAGGGTCGTGAGCCCACAGCGCGGACCTCGCTGTCGAGGAGACGTCATCAACCGTCGTAAGCGAGCGAAGAGCCAGGTAACAAAATACGTCGTAACGGGATATGAGAGGCAGGGAGAGCGACGACCGCTGCTATTACTAGAAGGGGCCACGAGCACGACTTATGCAAATTTTATAACTAGGCAAAGATTGAGGGAAATAAGCTGTACATTAGAGCAGTAACTAATCATTTTTTATGCGATCAGAATTCAATGAATGCCTTGTAAACAGTTTAACACTCTTATTATTCATTGAGCAAACCAGCCAAGGGTATATTGTAATTGTCATTAATAAAATATATGGTAAATATATTGTGTATTGCTGTGTATTTTACATATTATAACATAGTTGTTTCAGGGAGTTGTTGGTTAAGATGTTAAATCCATTAATGTTTAATATCATTATGTAAAATTGTCTTGATGTGTCAATTGATTTGATTTTTTTTAAAGTGGAGGGAATTTTTAACTTCATAATTTTGCAAACATTTGTTGACTTAACTATCTGGTAGCGACTGTCCACGGTGCTATAAGCATCACAATTTTATAACGCAGCAAGCTTCAATTTCACTGAGTCTTGTAATTTGCTTATTCTAAAGAGTATATTTTGGGCGTTTAGAGTGTAACATTTTTTTTGTTTTCAGTGCTTTTGGAATTATTAATTTAATAATTATGTTGGATTATTTCAAGAATATGCGCACTGATTTCACCTACCTTCTGTGTCTTTCGTATCCTTTCTCACACCAGAAAGATCCTGCTGAGATTAAAGCTCGTTACAAGCACTCATTCTACGTCCTCTCTTAGGTACCCGAGTCTCTCTCTCTCTCTCTCTCTATCTATCTATCTATCTATCTATCTGGGTGGTATGTGTGTGCCAAAATCGAAGTGGCACAATAGTTCACGGTCTGTTACATAGTGTGCACTTATGACACAAATATCAAATTCTACGATCAATTAATTTATAAGTGGATGGAAAGAGAATTAGAAAATTAATTTAAAGCGAGATGCAAAACATGAGAATGAATATTTCGGTGTAAAAGGTTTGTGATGTTTTAAATCTTTATTTGTTAATTGGAATTTGGGTATACCTAATTTACTGATTACATAGAGAAAATTAGAAACTAATGCTTTTTCGAATGATATTTTTATTTAGACGATAGTCTCCACTGTCTTGACGCTACGCAAATGCAAGACGCACTAAATTATGAACTAAAAAAGAAAATAAATTGTAAAAATTCGGATTTTATAATCATTCGCATGGCTCGATGCGAATTGCGAATTGAGCGTCGAAAACGCGGAAATGAGGTACCTCTGGCAACACTGATCCGGTACCTCGGAAACAAAATACAAGAAATGAATAACATTGCTTATATCAATTGAATTAAATTTAAATTCCAATACTATTTGCATATTAATAACATTTATATTGTGACCAATCACGTATTCTCATAAGAGAATTATTTCGCATCTCACCCCGTAATTCAATGTCTATTCACTTATGAATTCTGCGATACCGTCTTATTGAAGAAAGTTTTAAAATGATCAACGTAGTACAATCGATCACTCGTATCGACCTGCAAGCCTGGTACCAACGATTCACAAGAACGGATCGCTTCACTTTAACTAGAAGCAGCCGAGCAGACAGGCGTCACCGTCGGCAGAAAAGACGAACGAGCGAAATCTGTTACAATCTATTTATAAATTACTTCGAAAAGGCTCTCCGCAAGAGATAATTATCCTGATTATAATTCATGAGTGTAAAGTCATGAGTATCTCATGAAATTCTGTGAAGATATTTTCAAGATTTCGCATGTGAAAGATGTTAGCCCGTGTTGAAGCATTGCATTCCCGTTGTGTTTTCTATCCCACAGATTTTTCTTTCCGTATATTTTACTTGGTTTAAATTTCCTGATTTCAATAATTGAATATCTGATATATCATCCTCCCAACCACCGCACCACACAGTGACGGGAATGGCATTATCGTAAATTTAATTGGAACTGGTTTGTGACTGGAGTACCGAGCGTTCATACCACGTGGCGCGGGGATCATTACAACAGGTGCCTGGTCCCGGGTTTCCATTCTGCCAATGAGATCGAAAACAGAACTGCACCGCTACGAGGAAATTGGTAAAACAACGCCCAAAATTTTCCATCCGAGAAGAGGAGCGGTCCAGGAATAACTTCGATTCTCCAAAGCAGTATTCGCCGCCCACGACACCCGCCCACTCGATGCTCAAACTACAGTCTTCGATTCTTTATAATTCCGTAAAAATGTGGAGGTATTTATTAGGCACCAGGGCCCGCGGAAGATTCGAGAATTCAGGACAAGGTGCCACGTGATTTGGTTACTCCACCGTCACATCCCTTAAACACAACTCTTGTTGGAATTGCCCGATATAGAGTATAATTTGCTACCTTACCCGCCGCGTTGTTAAGGTTGCGCGGCGTGTAAAAATTTGTAGGCCAGCAGGGAGGGAGAAAAGATTTCACTGAGTTCGAAACAAACGAGCGGCGAATTCGAAACAAGTGTGTGTGTGTATACACTCACACACACAGAGGAAGCTTTTAACAAATTCATTTGTAAAAATAGCATGGGTAGAAACCATTGACTTTGTACAATTTTGTTGTTACAATTTTCCTCTTAATGTATGTTTCCTAAAACCAAGAAAGTGTATTCTGTATCAGTGTAACTTGAATGGAAATTGAACAGAGTAGAATTAGTTAACTGATTCAAAAATCACTTCAATTAATAGTACGATTGGGTCATTTGTCACTCTACAAGAGAGAAGAACTAATGAAAGGAAATTTATTTCAAATTCTTCACGATTGAAGATTAGTATAAAATTTGGTAGTTATAATTGTCATATTTAGGAAAGATTCTTTAGGAATGGTATATTATTTTCAAGGGTATTTATGTATGTATTTTTGAAAAGGCTATATTGGTATTATGTAGGTATGTAGGTATTTTTGTCAGGAATATTTTGTGTTTCTGTTTTCTCTCTTTTTGCTCTTTCACAGAAAAAATTAACCTTATTGGTTTTCAAATCATACAGAGTGTGTTGTATATTCCATTTGGTCTTCATATTCTTATTCTTACGCTTTTCATCCGCCATCAAACTATTTCTCTGATATCATTACCTTTAAGATTGTACAATTTCCTTTGTGGTCAAAAACAAATCTGAACCATAAGCAATTGTCGGGGGCTGCTACACTCTTCCACGTAATAAACCAGTGTGATGTGACAGGTCCTATCACCATACAGTGGATGCGAACTTTGCAGAGCCGAGACGGTGTATTTTTCACACCGAAAAAACGTGTGCGATTGCACGTTAGCGGCGGAGGGCTAATATCATCATATTTCAGTGCAATTTAGAATATTTTAAAATTATAAAAATAAAAGGTGCCTATTGTACTTACCATTTTTAACTGTACCTGATGATGACATTTGTTCTCCGAAACGAAGTGAAATGAAACGAAAATAAAAAAACTGTTTAAAAATTAATTTGGAAGAAATGTAATAAATCATTAATTGATATAAAAATAGAAAAACACAAAGGAAAACGGAGGGTAAACACCTGGCAACGTCGATTTCTAGTTCGACCAACTTTCGTAAAACCCGAATTGCCGGGTTGGGAGACAGCGTTCGTATTTCCCGGTGAGTCACCGGATGCGGTTCCGTGCGCGCTCCTGTCGAGACAATAGAGCTGCATGCCTCCGCGTCCCCGAAACTTCTAACATGCTTGCAGGTAGAAAAATGCAAATTTTCTGGCCTCTTTCACAGCAACGTTATATTAAATAAAATATTGAAGTTCGCATCGCAACCTTAGCGTGCGACCGTCCCAATACACAATATATAATTTCCTCCACTTCTAATTTTTTTGGTACCTCATTTGTTTAAAACCGTTCTCTGGGAACCGATTAAGAGGGACATCAAAATCGGTCTCTTTACAGGTTTAACATATATGATAGCTTGGTTTAATAAAGAAAGGAAATGAAAGCAAGTTTTTTAAACAACTGCTGTATTGACGGAATATATTTACACAATTATTAACACATTTCTTTCCTTTCTCATCAGAATAAACATTTGTGACACTGTTCTTTAAAACTAGTTCCTTTTCTTAGATTTTTTCTGAGATTGAGAAGTAACTTTGTTTTGTTTAAGAAACAATATGCGGTAAAGGAAAGAAGAGAACCACCAAAATGAGATAATGAATAATAATACTATTCCTAAGATCACTACATAAACATCCAAAAGATGATATTGGTACCAAGACAGGTCTTTTGCCGCCGATTGTAAATGGGGTGCTCCTTTGTGCCGACTAGTGTATTCAATCCACCAAATAGCTCGTTCCAGCGGAGTCTCTGGTTGGTCGCGAAATAATCTAGAGAGATGTTTGGCATTTTCACTGTACCTAAAACACAAAAACAGTCAATAAACGATGCTAGGAAAAATATCTACATGTGTTTAGGGTACAAAACCATGGTGAGAAATTGATACTACAAATCCTTCCAACAATATTTCACAGTGCAAGTGATCATGACGTATAGAAACTCGTGCGAAGATTTTGCAGTTTTACATATGAAAATCGTTTTGTAGTCAATTGGTTTTTCGGTATCACGGACCCACAAAACCGGCTCTACCTTCTAGCAACACCACTTGTTAGATTATTTTCTTAATTTAGCAACTGGAATTATCCACGTTTTTGTTATCAGAGCCCGGAAATGAATTTTTTCGTCAGAAAATCCGCAGTTTTTTCGCGCAGCATTACATAACTTTCCTTATACTCTGTATATACGTGTATACGGGAAAGTAAAAAGGAAATGAAATTAAGAAAGTCACCCATTGGCACTTTTCGTCGGATCCTTCTCAAATTTATAATAAAACAGTGGTGCTACAGAATGGTTCAGACTACCAAAGGTTTAAAGAAAAGAATTGAAGCTGTTTTTGAGAAAATTTTGTTATTGAATTTTTTTTTAAATTGCAAATATTACAAGCAATGTGGCGCAAAACCTACAAGTTTAAAAAAATGTACATGTCCAAAATGAAATAAATAATTATGAACAAAAGATTTGATTTGAAGGAAAAACCTCAATTTTCAATTTTTTAGTTGAAGGAAGACGAATTGTCGAAAATTGAGAGATAACCTTGAAAATCGGACATTGCCCTCTTTTATAAGTGTTTGTTACTAGATTATTAAAAGAAATTTATAGAAAACATTAGGAGCTCTGTTGAGAAATTTTTGAAAATTTTCGGAGGACTTCATGTAAAGTGCTCTGAAAGCACTGTGATTTGATTGTATGAAAATTAAAGAATAAAACTCTTTAAGTCAAATTGTTCGATTCACTTGTTCGTACCATTTCTCCTGAATTCTACCACTATTTTCAAATATATTTATATCACCGTGCTGAAGGAACATTTTCAATTCGGAACCCACAAAATATTATATTTGGAATTGCAGATATATTTTTTCATACTTTATATTTCAATTTATTTTATGTAACATTCTCGAAAAGTAAATTATCTCATTTTATAATTTTTAAATTATTAGTTTGAATTTTAATTAAGTCATGGAAATGTACGCACCTTGTATTTGAAAACATTTCATTCAGGGCATCCCTTAATGTAGTTCCTGAAAATTCTTTGTATGGAATCTGGATGGCATAACCTGCTGATGAAGCCCTTTCCATATTGAGCTGTTGATCTCCAAAAACGGGTATTCCAATTAATGACACGCCATGGTATATGGCTTCTAAGGAACTGAGTAATCCTCCATGTGTTATGAACAATTTCACGTTAGGATGAGCTGAAATGAAAACATACACTGCATTTCATTGCATTTATTTGAAGGCATACGCCTTCCATAAGAAGTAAAAAAAACAACAACACAAGAATATAAATATAAAGCCTTACTCGTTAAGATTTTTCTTTTTCGATTTTAACTGCGATTTTTCGAGTAATCAAGTGCACTTTATAAGAACTGTAAAGAAACGTATAATTACATTACTTATCAATCGTATGAAGATAGGCTGTACGTAAAAACGTAAAGGGTGCTGTGATGAAAGTTTACGAAAAGACGTGTGGTGCTACAACAGAACACTTTCTTGCTTTGTTTCTAAATGTGCAATTTTCGAAAATTAAGTGTGTTTGACGAAAATGAGTCATGCGCCATTCTTTAAGCATTTGGTTTTTTATGCATGGAAAAAATTGAGGGGCTTTTGAGAAAATGTTTTCTTGTAAATTATATTACATTCGTAAGATGATTAAAGAAAAACTACATACCGAAGGAATTTTAAGCAAAATAACTAAATACCGAAATAACTGGTGCTAACTCACCCAAAAGATGTATAATACAAGACTACCTATATTAGCTTACTCTATCAGCTCAGACATCCCCCCTCCTCCCCCCCAAAAAACACGATGGGAGGAAAACTTGTGATGAAGGAACCGGCTCCAGCCTACACGCCAGTCCACAGGAAGACGACGTTAGATTTTAATCCAGCAATACAAATTTCGCCTCCCCCCAGAGAAAAATTGGTGTCGCGCTGATGCACTCACTATTCATTTCGTATGAACATAAAAAATGTAAGATTTTTTCTTTTTTTAAATTCCATTGGAATTGAAGTAAAGATAACAAATATTATTTAAATAAATAGTCATTGTGAAAGAAGTGTGGAAGAAAACTGAAGCGAAGCAAAAATTGATACGTGGATAAGAGACGAATGTTTTAATCCACTATCCTATATTGGCAATTAAAAGGGTATAGTCGTTAGTTTGAGTATGTTGCCTTGTAATGTTTTAATAAGAAGTCAGATTATTATAGTTTTTGGTAAATGATATATTTATTCTGTTAGTATTTTGATTTTGTTGTGACGAATTACTATTTCTGAAGTTAGGTTAATGAGATACTGATGGAAAAGTTTGATGATTTAAAGAAAGAAGATTAGTATTAAGTAATGAGAGTGTTTGTCTATATTCAAGAAACGAACTTGATTTGATTTTCATAATTGTTTAAAGATAGGGCAACCCTTTTAATTTGCTATATATTGTCCGCTGCAATTTACATAAATCGGAGAGAGGTAGTTTTGGGCAGAGAACTGTTTGTTTTAAGGATGGATCCCAGTACATAGAACGCAATGAGGGTTTAAATGGCAATTAACGTGTGTGTGATTGAATCGCTGACCTCTTTTACATTGAATGGGTAATTGACTTAAAAATTATCTAGAACTTCAACTACGCTAATATTTTTTCTAGTAAAATATATTTGACGCTTCTTGGTTTTTAATTAGTATATCTGAGCAAATTCAATTGGTTCACGATTTTGATATACAGATTATATACTTTTATAACTGGAAATGTAAGAATGAATGGATGAATGAATAATCATTAAAGATTTATTCATTAGAATAATTATTTGGATGTTTTAATTAATAACAAAACTTTTTTGAAGGATCTCGTTAGTAGAATTGAATGTTCACAGAATTTTGTAGTAATTTTGAAAATCATCTAGTGATTGACATAAAATATTTTTTGTATATTTTATTATCTTAGTGAAAATATGTATTCTAGCAATTTCTTTTAAATTTGTAATGAACTACGAAAAGTTTATGACATTAGATACTATATTAAATAAGTGAAATTTTGATGTGTTGATGACTCTGATTATTTCTCTTCTAATAATATTGAATATTTGTTGAGGCCGGTACGGATAATTGGAAATTAGAAGAATTTTCCTTTATTGATTGCTAGTACACAACTTCCATTTGAGGAGACAAATGGATTCATGATTGAAGATAGTTGCAGATATGGCGCCCCGGGCATCATAAGGTTGAAAAATAACATAGTACATTTCGTTGAAATAAATCCGCGGTACTCAAAATGTATGATGTGCAATGTTCATACAATATGGTACTCACTATCGCTGTAAAATATCAATGAAGAAACTTTCTGAAAAGTTTATATTTGGCCAATATTCAGGCGAAAAATAGGATTGAGACGCATCTTCCAATATATTACTCAATTTATTTATTTTCCGCATTTGTGTTATATTAACCATTACAAAACTGCAAGGGCACTGCGACAATCCTAAATAAGAACCTGTGAAAATTCCATACTTATGTATACGCAACTTTATTAATAAGATCGCTGGTGAGGTAGATTCCTTCTAATAATTAAATAAAAGGTATTATCTGCTGTGGTCGACTGCGTGCCTTTAAAAGTGCCGCTGGAAATTAGTTCCGGCGCCATTCAAGAGAGGTCGGCGATAGCGGACGCCCCGGCGCCGTCACGCTCGACCAGGCTCCGGAGCGGACGGGCGCATCCGTATCGGACAGCTGGCCAGCGGACCCGCAGCCCGAGCCGGCTGTAAGAGCCACGCCCGGCGAGCAGAGGGATAGTCAAGCGCCTGCATGCATCGAGAAGTGATTAGCGAATGGTGAACGAGTGCGGCGATACGGCTACGGATACGGATTCCCTCTCTCGTGAAACAGTGAACGGTACTACGGCTGCGATTTTGGACATCTCCCTTGGAAATTGTGACTTGGACCTTCTTCGGCACATCTTCTGGAAAATTGTTTGGATCAGGCTTGAATTTGTCTACCCCATTACTGATTGTGGTTGGAATAAATCCATTTTTAGAAATTGCTTTCTTTTGGATACTACATTATCAGTTATCAAAATGTAGAATTTCGTTTTCCACCCAGGTGCTACAAGAGTAGTCCTGATGATCGATTGCGTAGGCTTCCGCGGCCGGAGTTTATGTTGGCTGGGCTATCCGGGACGAGCCGCGTCAATGTCATGGTGACTAACGTTTCGGCCAGCGTATTGTGGCCTTCTTCAGAGCGTACTGCTGCCAGATGGGTAGCGCGCTGGCCTGAGACGACCGGCTGAAGAACACCCATAAATCGGCCTTAGCACAACACGCTGCCGAAACCGGTCACCTAATTGAGTTTAACAAGACCCGCACAATAACCTCCGAGGACCGCTGGTGGCCACGCGTCATTCGGGAGGCCCTGGAAATATCAAGGAGACCCATCAACCTAAACCGTGATGATGGCCTCCGCCTCAGTACCACCTGGAAACGGGCCTTCACGGTCCGCCAATCCGGCGCCCACCCCAGGGGACACACCCCTACGGTCGACCTATTGAGCCCTGTTGAGCCCTGCTCCCACGTTGTGTTACGTGAAAAGTACGCGCAGTCTTCCCTTCACGGCAAGTACCTCACAAGAAATTTGTTCCCCGTCAATTCCGTACTAATCCGATCATAACCCAGTAACATGGCGTTTGTCGTTCCCTGCACGAAACGCCAAGGTTAGGTCGAACTCACCCGGTGACACACTGGGCAGGTTTCGCACACAATAGGCTGAACTCCCAGCTTGGAGGCGAACCAGTAAATACGGGAAAGACGAGCTCGACGAACAGTGACATCACTTCACTGTAAGCATTGAAATCGCTTTCAAGCAAAATACAATTTGCAACCGTGTAGAGAATTCTCGCCCTGAGCTCACAGGATGAGCAAAAGAAGGATCTTAGAGAAATTGCGCAGAATGTCAAAGTTCATCGCCGCTTGGTGAAGCCGTTCACGAAAGGCGGGCGCGCAATCAAGCAGAGAATTCCGTTCATGTCTACAGGGATGTGGAGCTGCTCCAATGGTCTTGATACTATTTCGAAATGCAATCTCCACGAGAGGCACATATGGGATCTTTCCTTCGTGCGCTAGCGCAAACCGGGAGTAAACTGCCGCGATTCAGAGCACGGGCCGGTAGGGGGCGCCGGCGCTACACCACCCAGGCCGCGTTTTACGCGTGGGACGACGCGACATAAAAGCGAAAATCTTAGCGAATTCCGCTTGCGTTGCAGTTCGCGCGCGTTCGAGAAGGGCGCCGCCCTCGCCGCCATTGGCTGCCACCGCTAGTGGTTGTGGCGCCAGCTGGCGCGTGCGTGTCAGCACCAATACCATTGGCCTATTGCACTCCCACCTTGCACGTCGAGGTAACGGGAGAGGAGCTTCGAGCTGACTAAAAACCTCAATGGAGGAAGGCAGGTGGCTCGGGAGGTCTCACGCGCAGAACAGCTGCGCGCTCCTGGGCGGGCGCGAGTCGAGTTTTTACTCGAGCTCTGAGATGCGTGCCTGGCGTGTTGGCTATTTTCCCAAGGCGTGGAGGATTGCAACCATTGCACTAATACCAAAACCCTGGCAAAAATAAACTATTCCGAGCAGCTATAGACCTAATTAGTCTACTCTACATCCTAGGGAATAACGTTTTGAGAGAACTGATCCTTGTTTCCTTTGCAACAGGAACATAACGTCGTCCTTCAATCTTTCTCAAAGATGAGCAATTTGGCTTTCGAGCTGGTCACAGCTCCGGCGCAGCAGCTTACGGCGGCTTTGCACGGAGATTCGGCCTCGGCCCTCGAGAGACGCGCAGAACCTGCAGTGGTCTTTCTGGATAATGACGGTCGGCTTTCGACTCTGTGTGGCATGCGGGTTGCTGCGAGTGCCTGCGGTGGCGGGCGTGAGCGATTGCTACTCAGACTGGATGCGAGCATTTCTCTTCTGACAGGCAGTTCAAAGTGCGTCGTCAATACGTATCTCGTCCCTCAGACGAAAGCCGAGGGCAGGCGTGCTCAGGGAGTGTTTCTTTCTCCTACCCTCTTAGGATTATACGTGAATGACGCGCCGCTTCCTGCTGAAACAGAGAACTGGTATTACGCTGCGGGCTTCTTGATGTCGCAGAATGATTTCGTGTACTACGCGAAATCTGCGAACGGAAGGCAGTCAGTTAAATACTTAAGTGATTGTCTCCC